ACTATTACATATAAAGGCCAACCGATAATAGTTTTGAAACAAATCCCACGTCAAGTAAGAGAATAGAGATGCAGATATCAATTTTTGATGACTTTCCTGAGGAAAAATGCAATTTCGTATCGTTGGTTATTACCTGAAGGCTTATTGATGACATGGAGGGATAAGAAAGTGAGGATTCGGAGTCTTCAAGAAGCAAGAGAACTCATGGAACAACAATTTAATTTGTCAGAATTAGATGTTGAAGGAGAAGGGGAAAGTAGAAGCCTGGAGGAATCGCAAGAGGAAAAAGAGGGAGAGGAGAGGAGAGAAGGAAAGGTGGGAAAGAAGGGTGGGGGAACACGAAAAGTTGAGGAATTAACAGCACCTCAGAGGGAGACAAGACAAACAGCTAAGAAGGCTATAACAGTGGGAAAGTAAAAACTTAGGTGAGAAAAGGAAATGGGGGAATTAGTGTGTTTGATATCTGTAAATATTAACGGTTTAAATGCTCCTAATAAGGGTAGTAGGATTTTGAATAAATTAAGAAAGGCTAGTATGATATTGTCTGCATGCAGGAGACCCATATAAAAAAAGATCAAAACCTTTTGTTAGAATACCGGGCGTTGGGTAAAACTTACACCACATTAGCAGGTCAAAAAAAAAAGAGGGATAGTGGTATATGTACGACATCATTTGAAATCCCAACAGGTTTTTGCTGACCAGGAAGGCCGGGTTCTCATGCTCGAAATAGAAATTGCCCAGTGGAAGTCTTTATTGGTTTGTATTTATGCCCCTAATGACAATCGGAGGACTTTTTATCAAAATTTATATGTTAAACTGGGGGAACTGGAATATGAACATGTCTGTTTAGTGGGGGATTTCAATGCTGTAACGGATAGAATGCAGGATTATGTCCCGGGAAACATACAAGGAAGGTTGAAGGATATTAAGAGAACATTACCAAAAATATGTAATGATTTAAGGGAGGAATTTGGATTACAGGATATATGGAGGTTGAGAAATCCCAATAAAAATCAATATACTTATTTCTCTCCCAGACATCACTCATGGACCCAAATAGATATGATATGGATGTCTCTTGAGTTGAGGGGGTTGGTCTCAGAAGTGGAAATAGGGCCCAACCAGTGGGCAGACCATAACCTGCTAATGGTAACTTGGAAGATCCCACATTGTAGGAAGGGTAGATGGAGAATGAATATAGGTATTCTGAAAGATGAAGAATTTATGAGTAAATTTAAGAAGGAGTTATATCTTTTTTTCCAGGAAAATAAGAAAGAGGATACTTCAATATACAATACATGGGATACGGTTAAGGCAGTGATGAGGGGATGATTAATCAAATATATGATTGATAAACGTAGGGGGGGTAAGAAACACCGAGACAATCTCTTGAATAAATTACAATGGGTGGAAGAAAGGATGCAAAATGGATTAACCCAGACAACATTGATAGAGGAAAGGGATTACTGGCAACACCAGATTAAATTATTAGATCAAGAGGAATTAGCAAATAAAATAAAGTGGACTAAACAAAATTTTTTTGAAAGGGCAAATAAAACAGGAAGATGGTTGGCTTACCGGCTTAGAAAGGAGCAGGAACAACGGAGAATAGAAGGGATGAAAGATGTAATTGGGAATCTTCATTGTACTAAAGAAGGCAAGAGAATGGTAGCTCAGGATTTTTTCACACAGCTTTATCAGAAAGGAGAGGAAAATATTTGTGAAATTCGGAAATATTTGGAAAAGACAGACTTGCCTAAAGTCTCGGAAACAATGAAGGAAATTCTTAATGCAGAATTTACAATGGAGGAAGTAGAGACAGTTATGAAAGCACAGGCGAATGGCAAAACCCCGGGTAGAGATGGCCTTCCAGTTGAATTATACAAAATAGTGTTTGACAAGGTAGGAAGACACATGACGGATTTATTCAATGCGGTTATGAAAGAGGCTCAGGTTCCAGTATCTTGGACTGAGGCTTATATTTCTATTATCCCAAAAGAAGGGACTGATCTATCTCTTATTAAGAATTATAGACCTATATCATTACTAAATTCCGATTATAAGATATTTGCGGGGGTTCTTGCAGCCAGGCTTAGCTGCTTCCTTAACCAATTCATTCATTCAGAGCAAAACGGCTTCCTTCCTAATAGATATCTACGAGATAATCTTAAAATTATCATGAATACACTAGAATTTTTCAAAAATCGCCCGGATAAACAATTAGCTTTAATTTTTGTTGACGCCCAAAAGGCATTTGACAGAATCAGTTGGGAATTTATGATTTCTCAATTGGAATATATGGAGTTTGGTGGGAATTTTATTCGGGCAATTCAAGCTATCTACCGGGAGCAGACTGCAAGAGTTCTCATAGATGGAGAGGAGTCGGAGAGAACTCAAATTCGTAGAGGTACAAGACAGGGATGTCCCCTTTCCCCATTGCTATTTGTATTAACTTTAGAGCCCCTGCTTAGAGAAGTGAGAGGAAACACGGAAATAAGAGGAATGAAGATTAGGCAGGAGGAAGTTAAAGTCCAGGTTTATGCAGACGATCTTGTATTTATCTTGGATCAACCACTGGACTCGGGCCTGAAATTATTACGCTTGATTAGAGAGTATGGGAAGGTAGCGGGATTACTGATGAATGAAGAAAAAACTAAAATCCTAGCGAAAAATATGATTCAGATGCAAAGGCAACAGCTGGAGCAGTTAATGGGTTTAAGAATAACAAATAAAATTAAGTATCTGGGTATATGGTTGACTGTCAGATGCTCCTCCATAAAGGAGGATAACTATCTTCCTCTTTACAACCAGATGCTCAGAGATCTAGAAAGGTGGAAAAATCTCCAGCTATCAATTTTGGGAAGGGTGGCAACCATTAAGATGTGTGTGTTACCCAAATGGTTATTTCTATTCCAAACAGCCCCGGTAAGGTTGAATAAAGAGGTTTTTTACAAATTTGGATAGGAGTATATCTAAATTTATCTGGCAGGGAAAGAGGCCACAGATTAGACTTAAAATGTTACAAGAACCCAAAAATAAAGGAGGATTTGGACTCCCAAATTGGGAGCTCTATCACCAAGCAGCGAACTTGATTTGGGTGAAAGAATGGATGATCCTACAAAAGAGACGACTTTTGACATTTGAAGGAGCCAGTCTTCAACATGGCTGGCACTATTTTCTATGGCCGGGAGCATCCAGTCGCCCTAGACACTTTGATGATCACTATTTACGTAGGACACTTGGGTACACTTGGGAAAAGGTTAGAAGAAGAGTTCTAAAAGAGTTCAAAAGTTCCATGTTGGATTTCGGCGCAGGAAGCTCAGATTTACCTGACATTGTATAAAGGGGAGAAAACCTTGACGTATGAAGGTTTTTTGGATGTTCAGAGTAATCCGAAGTCATGAGAATTATTAACTCTTCAAGGATATAAGATAGACTGGTGGTCTTATTCTCAAGTGCACTCCACGTATAAAAAAGATTTATATAGTGAAGGAATCTACCGTAAAAGACAAGAATTGGATAAGATCTTATTAGAAGGAGGGAAAGGGATACTATCTAAATGTTACGCATATTTATTGTCTCTGCAGATAGGACAGGATGTAGTGAAGGATTGTATGATAGCGTGGGCGAAATTTTGGATATCTCCTTGACTTCCAGCAATGGGAACAGATTTGGTTGAAAAATATGAAATTAACCATGGCTTCTTCATACAAAGAAAACACATATAAAATGGTCTACCGGTGGCATCTCCCCCCTGCGAGACTAGCTAAAATGTTTCCAGGACATCTGCCTGCTGTTGGAAGTGCGGTTATAGTAATGGAACTTATTTTCACCAATGGTGGACCTGCCCGCAGGTGGTTAAATATTGGAAAAAAATACGGCAATGGATTTTTGAAATTACACAGATTAATTTGGAATTAAGGCCCGAGATTTTCCTATTGGGGGCAAAAACTTTGAATGTTAAATGAGATATATGGTTCTTGTTGATTCACTTTATTACTGCAGCAAGATTAGCGTATGCGCAGGAGTGGAAAAATCAATACTTACCGATGGATTTGAAAATAATATATAAAATTAATGAGTGCGCGGAATCAGATAGATTAACTAGATTGATCAATGGTAAAAAAGATTCAGAATTTTATAACAGTTGTAAATTATGGTATGATTGGGTCCAGAAAAGGTGGGATAGAATAGATATATGATGATGTATATATATGATGGCAAATATGTATGTATAAAGGAATGACTTTATATTTATGGACAATGTAATCACATTATACCATGGTGGCAGGATTGTATATTTTATTTGTGTATTTGTGTATAGAATATATTAATAAAAATTATATATATATATATATAAAGAACCCATCCTGCACAAACTGTCTAATGTTGAAGAATATCAGTAATGTGGACCGGATTTGGGATTTCCTATGAAATCCCAAATTTCACAGCAGTCCATTTTAAGTGATCTGCTGATTGTCCTTAATCAATTTATTAACCATTCTCATGTGAAAGTCAATGGTTGCTGTCACAAGTTGTCCACATTGCTCTGGCTCGTGTAGATAAGTTCTTTGTCATTCACCATCTTTGCCATTTTTTTTTATCTATAACCATGATAGAACCATCATAAACAACCTGCATTAACCTATTAATCTCATTTGAACAGACTCCTTTGGCAGTAAAAAATTTAGTCATGGCACATTGCTTAAAGTCGAACGATGAGTCTCACTAAGGCTTCCATTTCACAAACAATAGCAACTCTAACTTTTCTCATAGCAACTTTCCAATAATTGAAGTGAATCTGAGCTTCTATTGGCAATTTATAAAATTGCAAACATTACTTTTCATTCAGCCTTCATACATTTATGCTCGTATTCAGCCTCAAGGTTCCATAGATAGCATACAGATAGAATTGTGACGTTCCATGTTTATAGAAATACAGTGCTCCTTGCTAGCATGTTCCTTAAATGTTATAATATTTAATGTTGCTTATTTTCAAGGGCCTAAACCAGTTGTGTTACTGGTATGTGGTAGTCTGACTGAAGGAAGAAGTTGGCTCCTCAATCTTCCCAGCAATAGCTTGGGATTTGTTCTAGCAGATGCTGGCTATGATGTTTGGATAATAAATAACAGAGGGACTACCTGGTCTAGAAGACACCAGAACCTAACAATTGACCAAGAAGAATTTTGGAATTTCAGGTAAAGCTCAGAACAGTTTATATAGTAACTAAATAAAAGCATATTTTTGCCAGAGAAATGGGTCAGGTTTTGTAAAATGGGAGGTGTATCCTTTTGAGATTGTATTAAAGGTAATACTGAATTACGACCACAATGGATCCCAACATTTCTGTTGTTAAGTGAGACATTTGTTAAGTGAGCCCCATTTTATGACCTTTCTTGCCTCAGTTGTTAAGTGAATCATTACAGTTGATAAGTTAGTAACCCGGTTGTTGAGTGAATCTGGCTTCCACATTGACTTTGCTTGTCTGAAAGTCACAAAAGGGGATCACATGACCTTGGGACACAGCAACGGTCAAAAATATGAATCAGTTGCCAAGCATCTGAAATTAGATCATGGAGATGCTGCAAAGGTCATAAGTGTGAAAAATGGTCCTAAGTCACTTGGTCCTAAGTCACTTTTTTCAGTGCTGTTGTAACTTTGAATGGTCACTAAATGAACAGTTGTAAGTTGAGGACTCCCTGTATATATTCATAGTATGAATTGTCAGATTCATTGGATTTCTGACACTATTTTAGGGAGCCCATCGGAACATAAAGGCATTTTCTTCCAGTTTCAATATCAGTTATTCATTAAGGTTTATCAGCAGTTTAGATTTTATCATTAAAATGCCATTTGAAGCATGCAGAATGTGGATTTAGTGCCTATCTGCAACACTTTAAAGTAGCTTTACTGCACATGCCCGCACTTTTTCTCAGGAAAGGAAAAATGTTCCAGCTACTCTGAAGATGCATAGGAGCACTTTGCCTCCTAGTGTCAATAATAGCATTTAGCAATAGCGCTTAAGACTTATATACCACTTCACAGTGCTTGACAGCCCTCTCTAAGTGGTTTACAGAGTCAGCACATTGCCCCCAACAATCTGGGTTCTCATTTTACCGACCTCAGAAGGATGGAAGGCTGAGTCAACTTTGAGCCTGGTGAGATTTGAACTGTCAAATTGCAGGCAGCCAGCAGGCAGCAGAAGTAGCCTGCAGTACTGCACTCTAACCACTGCGCCACAAAGGCACAGTTTCAGCTCATAGAGATTTTTGTGTGCGTCAGACCTTGAAAACTGCCAAGAGGAGAGCATTGAAGTGTGCTAAAGTTAGTGCTATTTGCCTCAATAAATTAGTGTTAAACTTCAGTGTATATTAATAGCAAATTAAATATTAAAATGCAGTTAGTATATGAGACCTAGCTTGGTTTAGGGATGAACAGCTCTGGACTAGAAGCTGGAAGATCATAAATTCTAATCCAGGGGTATGAAACTCAATTTCACTGAGGGCCACATCAGGGTTATGTTTGACCTCGGGGAGGGGGGGTGGAGTGGAGTGGGCGTGACTAGGTGGGTATGGCCAGCTCAACTTCACTCCTGTCAGGGGCACCAGTGGTGGCCCGAGTGCTCTGCCAATGAAAATGGGTTCCCGGGCTCCGCTTTCAGCTGACACGGCCTCCTGCAACCCTCTGCCAGTGAAAACATTTTTGCTGGTAGAAGCGTCGCAGGCTGGTCCTTTGCTGTTTCCAGGGTGACCCTGCGGGCCAAATCTAAGTACCCCGCAGGTTGGATCTGGCCTCTGGGCCTTGAGTTTGACACTCCTGTTCTAATCCTTCCTTAGGCCCAAAAACTCATTGGGAAGAACTCGATGGGAAACCACTTCTGAAATTTTGCCAAGAAAATGGTAGTGATTGTCCATGTACAAGTAGTCCTTGACAGTTACAACATGTTGTGACCCAGGCCCAAGTAGGTAGTAATCAACGCAAACAGTTCAAAATAAACAGACTTTATTAGAACAGCTGAGAATTAACTCATTCTCAGCGTAGTCCAAACTAAATTAAAACAAATTCTTCATAACACAAATTCTTCAGTCTAATCACCAACCTTGGTATAATTAGACAAACGGCCAAAGGCTTCTCTTGGCAAAAGTTCAGAAGCAGAAGACACCGACAAGAGATAAGTGCAGCAAGACTATCAACGTTCTTTTCTGACAAAGAGCCCAAGAGCTGTTGCTGGTCTTTTAAGCCTTATGGGAGGGACCAATCATCTCTTGGCCCTACTCCCGAGTCGTCCTCTTTGCTTTAGCTGCTCTTGCCTTCTGGCAGCTCTTCTAATACGTGCACTAGGAACAGGCTCCTCCTGTTCCTCTGCCTCTCTACTGCACATCACTCCCCGATGGCCCTGGCCCCATCTCTGCCTCTGACACAGTGCCCTTATCCAGGCCTTCCCCAGCCTCCAGGACTGCCCCATGTTCTTCCTCAGCCTCATCGCTGTCCGACTCCGCTGCCAGCACCGCAGGCTGCTGGCGAACCACAACACAATAGTTCGTTCAGTGACTGTTTGATGTTACAACAACACTGAAAAAAGTGACTTATGACTGTTTTTCACACTTACCACCTTTGCAGTGTCCCCATGGGAACGTGATCAAAGTTCAGAGACTTGGCAACTGACTCCTATTTATGACTGTTGCAGTATCCTGAGGGTCAGATGATCACCTTTTATGTCTTTCTGACAAGCAAAGTCAATGGGGAAACCAGGTTCACTTAACAATTGTATTACTAATTTAATTACTGCTGTGATTCACTTAACAATTGTGTCAAGAAAGGTTGTAAAATGGGGCAAACTCACTTGGCAAATGTCTCACTTAGCAGCAAAAATTTGGGGCTCAATTGTGGTCATAAGTTGAGGACTACCTGTAGTCACTAGTAGTCAAAGTTGGCTTGAAAGACCACAACAAGTTCTATGCAGCCAAAATTGTATCATCTATACAAAAGAGGAAGGTGTGCCTGAAAAAAACCCAGCTATTTGAAGAAGTACATTTTAAGGAGGAAATAGATTAAGGGAAAGAAACAGAAAGAACTTCATAGAGGCTCAATAAACTCAATTACAAAATTCTGGCAAAACAAATGGAAAACAAGTAAGGAGAGAGAACAGAACAGAGTATAGTATCTTATATGGAAGCAAGACTGATCCCTCACTGATAAATTCTCTTACTGGTCTGACTTATTCTTAATTATTAAGGCAAATCCTATAAAGCATGGAGAAGAATTTAGGGCCCCCAGTTTTTGCTAAAATGCAGCACAAGGAAGACTCGGCCATGTGAAATTTAAAAAGTGAGCAATTTGATAATGAAACAATTAAATTGTTTACTGCTATTTTGGAAATCTAATGAGGTTAGTTTAAGTAAAGTTGTCAAACATGTAATAAAAAATTAGCTTTCTTCACTTCTGTGCTGTCTATGTCAGGGGTTTCAAACTCGTGATGACACGTCATCACATGACTTATCACAACTTTTTTCCTGTTTGCTAAAACGGGGTAGGCGTGGCCAGCACATGACGCATCCAGCCCGCGAGTTTGATACCCCTAGTCTATGTCATACAAACAGGAGTTTCAATCCCAGTTTAGCCATGAAAGCCAGCTGGGTGACTTTGGGCCAGTTATTCTCAACACAACTCACCTCACAAGGTATTGTTATGGGCAAAAGAGGAGGAGGAGGAGTGTAAGATATGTTCACCATTTTAAATTATTTTTTAAAAAAACAATAAAACCAAGATTAAAAAAATACTTGCAGCCTTCTGATTTTTTTTTTACCCTTAACTTATTATACAGAATAAATCTCAGCAGCGTTTTGTGTCTTTGCTTGTGTCCCATTATTACAGTTTTCATGAAATGGCAATTTATGATATTCCTGCAACTATGAACTTTATTCTACATAAAACAAAGCAGGATAGTTTATATTACATTGGCCATTCTCAAGGAGCTTCAATGGGTAAGTTAAGAATGAATCATATTCAATCTTTGCATCTTTCTTAACAATCAAGCAGTATAGAAACCTAGCTATTTAATGATCAACAATATATTTACTAATCTATTGTGAAATATATGGCCAAAAGTATAAGACAGAGGTTAAAATATAATAGTCTCTTTGACAGCAAGAAATCTATCTTGAATTCTTGAAGATAGATAGATAGATAGATAGATAGATAGATAGATAGATAGATAGATGATAGATGATAGATGATAGATGATAGATAAATAGAGATAGATAGATAGATAGATGATAGATAGATAGATAGATAGATAGATAGATAGATAGATAGATAGATAGATAGATAGCAGGATAAATGCAAATAACTGATTTATTTATTTCTTTATTTTTTTCTGAAAGATGATGCAATAGTGAAGAAACTAAGCCACTCATGAATATAGGCTTTTTATGTGCCTGTTAGAGGCATGGCAGAAATGTAGGGAAAGAATGAGATTGAAAATTTAACTTTGGAGTTAAGCAAAATGTGGATATCAAGGCTTTGTGAGACTAATCACAAACATTGCATTTGGTCTTCTGCTATTAACTTCCCAACCAAGTAGAACTTGGTGGCCCCTTGTCCTTACTAAAGATAATCTTTAAATTATCTTTAGCATTTAACTATGAGATACCTGGGTCCAAACAAAGCCTTCTCATATCCTTTTATTAGCCGTCTCTCTATCTGTTTGAGCAAATAGGCTCACCTTTCCAACCCTGTTCTGTTTTTGTTATATCCCATTAATTCACGATTCTTCTAATCCAGAATTCCTTCATATTTCCAATATTCAATCTTCAAAGGAAATCAATCCAATTCAGATATTCTGCTGCAAAGAAAAGAAAGCTGCCTTTATAAAAACAACAATAGGAGGAGGAGGATAGCTGGCACTTTCTTGCAAGCTTATCCTTTATGTATCTCTCAATTTTGGAACAAAACAAGTACAGCAACACCATCATTTAAATATCAATACAAATACTGACACTATGTTTTGATCTACATTTAGCTTGGTTTCCATTTTTTAAAACTTATCTTTCTTTCAGGTCTTATTACTTTTTCAACCTTCCCACAGCTTGCTCAGAAAACAAAGCTTTTAATGTGCCTTGCGCCTCCCAGCACATTGAAGGACCTCAAGGGAATGACGAAATATATCATACTACTTCCCTACAAAGTTAAAAGGGTATGTATTTCTATTTCCCATAGGTTTACATTCTTATACTATTTGATTCAGTATACAGATATAGATGTGTTATTATCTCATGCAGTTCATATAATTTGGAATTAGGGTTTAAATATCTATTTAAAATTCAACCACCTTTTTCTCAGAATTTGTATGGATTTTTTCTCCACCCTTCTGTATTTAAATACAAAAAATGACTTCAATTCCCCCTCTTGCATAAGACATCATGTAATGAACCTAGATGTGACTACAAAATTGGACAGAATTTATCAAAGCTGTACAAATGCTTCCTTTTTGAAGTGACCCTCCTACATTATTACAGATGTTCATTTTCCCTTGACAGAATATTAGACAAAACGTTGCTTTCTTCATTTTGTCTTTTATAAAGTTGGTGGAGAATTTTACATGAAGTTACATGCACAATATTTGTTTTAAAAAAAGTACGGCTGAAGAAATAGACGTTTATTTATTTTATTTATTTTATCTCCATTTTTTCCCTCTCTCCGCTTTTTAAAATCAGTTGCTTCACCTACAGTATGATATGAATTTTTAAGATTTTTTTTAATCTTTAAAAAAACCCCTCCAATTTATAATTCCCAAATTCTTGAATAATTCCTGGAAAACATTTAAAAACCATTCTTTGCTGTTTCCATGAACGGTGTAAAAAAATTTTAAAGGCCATTTTTCATTCACCTCCAGTTTTTTTTCACTAATTTTTAAATATCTACGTATTTCCTGTCCCCCATCAGTGTAAGTCATATTTGCTTGATCTAATTACAGGGTTTAACTTCACTTTTTCTTCTAAAATGCTTTAATAAAACTGATTAAACAAATTCATGCACTCCTCTCTATAAAAGTAATTAGCTTTTCTTTGTTACTCATGGCCATCTTTGATTGCTAACTTTCCTGCTATCAAATAAATCTCACCTCTGCTTCTGGCAATTTTCCTATGTTCTTTTGAAATCCCAGATCATACTAAGAATTTATTCTAACACCAGGGAAACCTATTTGCAGTTCCCCATGTTCAAAAAGTGAGAAGAGCAGATCTTACAAGTCTTAGTTTTGGGTCAGTGATCCTACATGTTAGCCTCGCCACAGAAATTTGATTTGTCCCTTTGTTATTAAAAATATAACTATTCTAGAAAGCCTCTGAGTTATGAGTTGTTAACATATTAACAGTTTTGTGCATTTTAGGCTTCATCTGTTGCATTATTGTGTTGTATTTTTTATCATGGATGGAGTGATAGTTGGCATGCTTTATATTAATGAATGTTGTAAATAATACCCACTAATTATAGTGGACATAAATCCCGTAAGTAAGGAATAAAAAAAATTGCATGTATTTTAAAATATTGTTAAAATAATGCAGAGAATCAATGGGGGTATTGAATCCGCTGAATTAAATGAGGAATTGGTAAACTATTCAATTAGAAGTGCTTCTATAGAATTTTGCAATAATATTTGTATTTATATTTTCCAGTATTTATGGGGAAGTAAAGACTTTAATATTCTAAGCAACAGAGTAAAAAACATCAATGCCAATCTATGCAGCTACCCAGGATTAAACAAGATTTGCATCCAAATGATTTTCTCTGTTGCGGGTTTTAATAAAAACAATATAAATGTGGTAAGTGGATTGTGGAATTTTTTCTTTAGATAAATCAAAGTATTTATTTTTAATATGGAATTTTATGTGTAACGTTGCAATAATGGTATGTATTATTTCTGTAAGTTTACAGAAGTTCAAAATTTAGCGGATGCACCAACTTTTTCAATTAGTTTGTTTTCATTAGTTAATCCTATGTAGCCTTGATTGCACAGTTGCAGTTGCCATCTTGATTTTTTGCCTCCCCCCCCCTCCGTCTCCTTTCCTGTGGTCACCTTGCTTGGTGACTGTTGGCCAATAATGACACAGAATATGTGTTCCTTGGTTTGAAAATTTCAAGATCACTGTCAGCAGGAATTGAATAGCCTTTCTTCTTAACAGAGGTTTTAAAGAAATCTATCTGCCTCTCTTTTTGGCTTTAAGAAGCTTAATTGGTATATTATCTCTTAATCAATTTCTCAAATCTTTTAATTATTTTGTATTTACTTTTTTCCCAGAGTCGAGCTGATCTTTTTTTGGGAACTTACCCTGATTTTACTTCTGTGAAAAATATATTTCATTGGACCCAGGTAAAGTTTCATTTTCCAATTTTCTTTGCAAGTCAAAATAGAATGGTACTATTTGCAGCCATTTGATTAAATGTATCAGGCGTACACCAAAGGAATGCTCAAGTCTCTGTTCCAAAGTACTTCTTTGAAAACTAAAGTCTAGATCATTGTCCTTAACCCTGTAATTATTTGTTAAAACACTGTAGTGTTGTTGCTGATGGAATCTGGCTCTAATTCAAGACCTTCATCATAACTCTGGGCTTATCCACAATAATTTAATAATCAACCCACATTAGTGACCATGTATTACACTAACTTCAGAGAAGTTGTCATGTGATCTCTAGGATGCTTTCTACAACTTGTGCTTGGACCCTTGCACTGCCTGGCTTCTTGGATAGCCAAAAAAAGGAATTGTTCCCTGGGTCTGAGAATCAGTGCCTATTTTGGGGAGGAATGCTGCTGGTCACCTTAAAGAAAGCTGTGATATATCTCCTCTTTCAAAGGACTTCTTTGGATCCAACATGCAAAATAACTAACATCTAATTTTGTCGGTGGAGATTCTCAGTCATCCAGGTCATGGTTGTCCCAAAGGTGTTTTTTTTCAAGAGGCAATGGACTTTCTTGTTTTTCTTTGAAGATGTTTCACTTTTCATCCAAGAAGCTTTCTTCAGCTCTTCAGATCTTGCCCGCGGGCCTTGAGTTTGACACCCCTGATCTAGACCTTGTCAGAATTCAGAGCCTGGGCATGGGATGGATATAACCTTGATTAGGCTAGTGAATGAAGTTTCTTGAGATCTGGAGGGCAGTAGAAGTCCTTTTAGACTTCTCTGGGGCTTTTGATCTCATAGCATTATTCTAGGCTATTTTTGGGGTTGGGATTGGAGATGCTGTTTTGCAACAGTATCTTCCTCTACGGCCCATTCCAATTGCTGGTAATAGGAAAAAGGAGGTCAAATCAGTGGTTGTTCACTTATGGGACGCCATACGGGCTTGTTGTCTTCCACCCCCCACTGATTAATATCTCCATGAAACCACTGGATGAGGGTGATTTGTAATTTGTAGTCCTGTACCTTTAGTAGGATGATAATACTTTGCTTTCCATCTTCACCCTGTTGCGGTCTTGTTCCACTGAGTTCTGGGTGGGAATGAAATTTAATCCTGGCAATACACAGTTACAGTTACATTGGAGTACTTAATAGCTCCAACGGTGTGTCTTGGTGGAGAAGCATGGCCATTAGGGGGCAGGTCACTGTTTTGGGATCCTCCTGGACTTGCAATTCCTCCTTGAACAGCCAATAGAAGCTTCAGCCAGGGATCCTTTGGCAGTTGTGACCCCTAGCCAGGGTGACAGTATTTTGTTACATAGACTCATACCCCATTATCACTCTCCTAGAATATTACTATGTTCTCTACATGTGGCTGCCTCTAAAGCAAACTCAGAACCTTCAGTTGGGCCAAAATGCAATAGCCAGTGTATTCTCCAACACACACCAGAGCACATCATAATTGTATTGCAGGCCCTATAGTGGCCTCCTAAAGCTTTCTGCATGCAATTTAAAATGTTGGCCTTAACCCATCAAGGCCAACTTCCCACTAGATGTTTGTTTTCTCATAGAACTGGAACAGCCTATTCTTACTTACCAGGACAAGGATAATAGTAATTTCTCACTTTTGTGAGGTGACAATGCTCAAACTATCTGTCAAATGGACCAGTTGAAAGCTTGCCATGTATCAATGCTTGTTCCAGGATGGTTGAACCCGGACATAATGAACTCTTCTCTTTTGTGAGAGGACCATTAAAAAGGACTTGCCTGCAACATGTACTATATGATCAAATTGATAAGCAAATATTATTTGAATTTCTGGTATGAATTTTAGTAAATTAGTAATATAATTGTCTAGAAAGTGCCAGGGATTGCTAATGTAACAATAATGCAATGGGGGAAGGGGTATATAAATATTTATAAACAAAATATTGCAAGGCAAATTTAAGGAGAAGATCTAAGGCTGAACTGGTTCTAGCATACTCATGAGAATAATAAATGGAAATTGTTATAATACCCACCACTACCAAAACTCAGATATTTCTTTAATAAAGAGAACATAGGAGACTTACTCAGACAAAATAGATAAGCCATATTTTCTTGAAAGAGGAGAATGTCAGAATAGTAATATAATCCAGGAGTGAGATGTCAAGATTTTTTACTTTTTGCCTTGATGTTCTAAGAAAAGATGGGAATTAAATCATGATCTCAGGAAAATCGGTTGGTATCAGGAAGCTCAATTCAGGCCCACACTGAACCATCAAGGAACATAAGAGAAATCTAGTGACATAGCATCTGGATAGTGAGGAGCAAATATCCCCCATAATAGGCAAATGAATTGAACTTGTTTTGCCTATGACGTCTTTGATTAATCAGATGCAGAAGCTGGGTTTGAGCTGATAGAGTTCTGTGAAAGACCCAAGCCATCTGAGATGGTGGGTAGGGGAACTTCTAAATCTACATAGCTTGAGGCTCTTTGAAAGTAACTTGCAATGGAGTGAAATATCCAAATATTCTTTATAGACCATCTTCCATTTTATGAAAATTTTTGCAAAGTGGAGAAAGGACCTGATAATTAAAATTTATATTTGTCTCAAATTTCAGATTTTAAAAAATAAATATGAAAGTTTGTTAAGTATACACAACTCTTTCTTCCCAATTTAGATTTTTGAATCGAATGAATTTAAACATTTTGACTATGGAAACCAGAACAAAGCTGTATACAACATGGTGAGGAAATGCTTGTAATGAGATATGTGTTTGCATATATACATAAAGATGTGTGGTTTCTGGGCAGCCATCTTCCCTACACAATATTCCTACTTCCCACAATCTTGGTGACAGCCTACTGTGCATACTGCTACTACCATCCATACTGTTTCAAAGCAGTTTCCTCCCTGCACTGGATTAATCAAAGTCTAACTGGGAGGAAAAATGTGCTAAATTAAAGCTGTAGTGCTTTTAGCCAGTTTCTTTTGTATGTCCAGTGTAACATCTTCCTCCATTGCTGTCTCAATTTTGTCAGGGAGAACTTGTTCCTATTCCCTAGCATCTTTCAGACAGTCTGTTTATAGAGGCAGAAACTATTAAAATTAACTTTTGGATTTAGTTTTCCAAAATATCCTTTCTTGTCCAATGTTAAAATATTTTGCTTCATTCTGTAATTGTAAATTGAGTATGTGTTCTTCTTTTATTGTAATCTTTGATTCCCTTTAGTTCCCTCTAGTGTCCAGTTTTGAAAATCTTACTGTATTTTTTTAAAATCAAAACAAAATCATTTTTTCTATAGACAGGATTCTTTATAATTAATTCCAAAATCTAATTTCAAATTTATCTGGACCTTTACTTTGTAGCTTTCTAAGTTTTAATAATTTAGATAAACTCCATGTTTATATCATGGAGTTCTAAACCTGCCAAAGACCACAAAGCTGTCTGGAGCACTTGTGGGTGACCTCAAGTCCTCTCCTTGTCCAGAGAAGAAGTATCAAAGAGTCAATGTACTTGCTGAGTCTTCTTTCTGCCATGGTCAATGTACTTGCTGAGTCTTCTTTCTGCCATGGTCATTGGTTCTCTTTTTTGGGGTCACCACTTCTTTCTTGGAAGTCTTGTGAATAATTATAAAATGTGCTTCTCTGTATTAAATTATTAAATTACTACCCTGTTTCCCCCAAAATAAGACATCCCCTGATAATAAGGCCAATCTAGCTTTTGAGCGCTTGCCAATAAGGCCAAGCGCTTATTTCAGGGTTCAAAAAAATATAAGACAGGGTCTTATTTTCGGGGAAACATGGTAATGTACTAAATATTACGAATGCAATTTCTCTATACCAAAGTATCACAATACAAATCTCCTTTTAATTACATACAAGTGTGTAAATTTCACATTTTCAAGAACCCCAAAATAGATTGTAAAAATATACTTATCAATCAACATATTTTTTTCAGCAAGTTTTGAAATGATTGAATTGGTATGATCTGATACAAAATATACAGATGTGATTCATCCTGAGTTACTAATTAATTAAACCTTTAATGTAAGAGCTTTGTAAATTATCAGTCAGAAAATATGAATTGTGTATCATAGAAGATAAAAGGATCTGTCAAGGAATAAGTATTTTTGTCAGATCTGGCTGCATGGAACGAGAATGGTGGTATTACTTACAGATGAAATATCTGGAAATAGGCAAGCTGAAGACTTTCATATTTTGTATCTCTTCTTCCACAGACCAAGCCCCCATTTTATAAACTTGAAGATATAACTGTGCCAACAGCTGTTTGGAGTGGTGGGAATGACTTCATTGTGAGTCCACAGAGTATCAATCATCTGCTCCCGCAACTTACTAACTTAGTTTTCCATAAGTATATTCCTAGCTGGCAGCATGCTGATTTTATATGGGGCCTTGATGTCCCAAAATACTTGCACAAGGATATTTTTCATCTAATGCAGAACTACAGATAAATATAGATGGAAGTTTTCTCTGGCAATAGAGAATAGCAACATTTTGAATTTGATATAGAAAATAAATAGTTTATATTTTCCACATTAGTTTTGAAATGTTGCTATCCTCTTTTGTCAGAAAATGACTTCCAGACACCTTTTGCTAAAAGTTAAAGAGGGGAAGTAATAGAAAAACAGAGAAGAAAAAAGATAGGAAGAAGTAGCTTCTGATATTCTTTACAGCAATTATAAATATGATTATAAATTCACCTCTTACTCTAAGGCACAGCTGAGCTCTCTTTTTTCTATGATCTATCCTGTCTAATTGTCAAAATCATAAATTATAAGTTCATTTTTTTCTGTTTCAAGCAAAAAGTCCATAAGGGTTTCCACTCAGCAATTAATGTTAGATATTGTCTTTTCTCTGATCAAAGTGAATTTAGCTACCTCAGCAAATTCCACCAACCATTCGTCCATTGTAGGTAGTGCCAAATTTTTTCATCTTTGTGCAAACAATAATCTTATTTCATTTCCTTTCTGCTGTTACATCAGTCAGCCTTACTTTCCAGAAAAAGCAAAGTTAGTCCAAGCGTGTCTTCACTTACTTACAATTCCTATGTAGTTCACAGACATCAATCAGTTTGTATGCAAGCGCTAACTCAGACACCAAACCTAGGTAAATTCAGGCAGAAGTTAGTGTGGCTCAAGTCAAGGGTTCAAAAAGAATTCCTATAGTATCCGGGGTCCTTGGTGATCGCTGAACTTGGTTGTTTTCTTGCAGATGTTTCATTAACAAACTAGGTAATATCACTGATGAAGTATGAAGCTTGATAATGAAACATCTGCAAGAAAACAACAAAGTTCAGAGAGCATCAAAGACCGCACAGTTCAACTCTGAAATATAAATATTCTCTTCTATTAAAATTCTTATGATATAGTATAGCAAATAATAAAGATACATTTCACAGTTAAATCTACATGTAGATTTAACAGGCCATACGCTCCCATAGAGAGGGGCTCCTCAGGGTGCCGTCGGTCAAACAGTGTCAACTGGCAGCCCCCAGGGGGAGAGCCTTCTCTGTGGGGGCATCTGCCATTTGGAACGAGCTCCCCCCAGATACGGAGGATCCCGGATCCCGGGATCCCGGATTTACGCACTTTCTGCCGTGCCCTCAAGCCCTTTTTATTTCAACAGGCTGGCCTGGCCTAATTTCCTTTTAATTGTTAATTTTAAATTTGTTTTAAAACAATAGGGGTGTTTTAATTTGTATGGGCCAAATTATTTAATGTGTTTTTACATTGTTTTTTAAATTTTGTATTATGTGTGTTTTATCCTTTGGCTGTTCACCGCCCTGAGTCCTTCGGGAGTAGGGCGGTATATAAATCCAAAATAAAGTAAAGTAAAGTAAACAGGCACTTAAAATAACTGCCTGGCCTGCTGTGAAACGAAACATAACCCAGAAGCTTATGGAAGGAGCCACCACTCTTGCCCTCCCTTCCCCCAGCTGTGCTCTGAATTGATAACACTGTGCATCTATTGGGAGGAATTGGTTTGAAACGGGAGGCTTAGACTGTATAAATTGCTCTGTTATATCACACCTTTGTAATTGCTAGACTGCACCAAAGGTGCTTTTCAAACAGCAACTGGACTTTCTTTGATGCTTCCTAGGCTTTGCTGGACTGTACATTATTTCCTTGCTTTACTTTCTTATTAAACAAGAAGAAAAAATATTTCCTGCTCTCTAATGAACTTTGTCTCATGATTTTTTTTCCCTCTGGATGGGTATTAACTGTCTGTTAGTGCCACCCATCAGGTGAGATCCTGAAGAGATAAACAACGGATGCCAGGAAACCATGGTGGGAGAGGCACTTCGTTCCTTATGTGGGTTGTAACTATGAGTTCTTTAGCAACCAGGTTTAGTCATAGATTTCCTTCTCCCATCTGGCACCAAGAAACATTGCCAGATTGATTGATGATGAGACTGACATTTGTGCTTTCATATGTGGGAATGAGGGATACTTCCTGCTCCCCGAGCTGCATGCAGTAAATTATTGATGGAAATAGAAATCAATAAACCTATTGATGGGAAGCTAATTATGTGATCAGGAAGAGGGCAAGGTTATTTATACTGATAATTAGAGTGGAAAGGCTGCTATATTTGCATTGCAGCTTCTTTATGTTCTGAGCCTAAGAGTCCTGGAGGTATCATGACTTCCTTAGAAGGAGCAGGAGGAAAAAAGCAGCTTGATAGGCACTAGTTAGCCTTGCAGATTCTTTACAATATCTAATACACTGAACAAGTAGAAACCAAAGCCATCAGGTGCCACAAATGGTCTACTCCACGACTTTCCTATGGAATACCCTGGTGTTCAGTCTACCCTTCAAGTGGGGATTGAGAAGAGGTATATTGTGAGAGCTTAACCTGATACTGTTGTGTATGTGTAAAAGACTTTCAATACTCCTTGTATTGAAAAGGAGCTTCAAGACTTTTGGATGCTTCCGTTATCTGCTAAATAGATCTTAATTTATCCCTTCTGATTGGTTTGGTGGTCTGCAGCAAATCTCCAGCTCCAGCTGTTATTAGCTTGCTCCTTTATAAAAAACTTGCTTTCGGAACATGTTGCTGTCAATTGGCCTCTCTGCAGATATGTTCATCCGTGTGGTGCTTGCACCACTGTTCCAAACAGGAGTTCATCTGAAACATTTTTTTTCCCTTTTTCCTGCTGGAGCTTTGCATTCAGTGAGAAGTATTGAACACAAGCATCTTTTGTTACAGTAAGAATTTACCCATGTTTCACTTGACATCCCTTGCTGGCAGGGGTGGGTTCTAAATTTTTTTACTACCGGTTCTGTGGGCGTGGCTTATTTTGTGGGTGTGGCTTGATGGTCATGTGACGACGTGCGTGGCTTGGTGGTCATGTGACTGGGTAGGCATGGCCAACTCAATGTCATTCACGTCAAGGGGTGCCTCACCTGGCCCCTCCCCTCCCAGCCATTCCTTGTCATACCCAGCCTCAATGTACAGTATCTATAGTTCTGTAAAAATGTTGTTCACCTTTTTTCAAATTTATTATCTACATGCTATAGATGCACTTTCATGGACCACTGAAAGGAGGAAATGGCTCACATGCTTTGCCCAAGAGTGTGATAGGCAACAGGCTTTTAAGGGGCTGCCAGAAAGAAGGGGGGGCAATGTATTTTCCAAAGCACCAGAAGGCAAAAGAAGAAGCATGGATGGAAACTGAACAAAGAAGAAGTTAATTTTTCTCCTAAAACTAAGGAGAAACTTCCTGACAGTGAGAATCAATATAGGCGCATAATTTCATATTTGCCATAATTTCACATTTGTGTAATACAACCTGCATATTGTTCAAAACAGTCATTAGTATTATGGCTGATGTTTGACAGCAAGCCTAAAAGTCAAAGCTTGCAAGAGTGCTTCTTTCTCTGTATGTATACAAAACATCATATACCAGGAATAGCATATTAAGATGGACTCATCACTGGATGTTTTTAAAAAGATTTTAGACGGTCACTTATCTGAAATAGTATAGGTTCTCCTGCTTTAGCAGGGGGCTGGACTAGAAAACCTCCAAGATCCCTTCCAGCTCATTCATTCTATATCAGCAGGTTTTCCGTTGGCACTTAAGAGTTTCTTCCTTTATTATAGTTCACTGTTTTTAGGTAGTATTGTTGATTCTCACACACAACGCTAGAATGATGCTGTTTTTGATGAAAAGACAAGATGTTAATTAAACAACCAAACAAATATATTGTTTGGTTGTTTAATTAACATCTTGTCTTTTCATCAAAAACAGCTCTGTGCAGATTTAATCTTATATTTTGTATTTCTATATAAGAACATACATAATAAAATGGAATGATATGAAGTTATCCCTTACCTTATACACAAAGGTACAAACAAAATCAATGAAACCATATTGAAGCTTAGGTAATTCATCCTTCTTGGCTCTGTCCATCAAAGGCTAGAAAGAGTTGAAGAAAGTAATTAGTGAGTATGTAATCTTATTTTTTAAGATTGAATACATGCTGTGTAAGATGCCTACAATTGGCTGTTGCTGTAAGACCTTAGTTCAAGGTCACCTTGCTCCCAAAATTCACTTGCAACCATCAAAGCAACCTGAGAATGGATAACAATTAATTTTATGTTTTTTGCAATAGTTGTCAGCTACTATTTTATTTATTTATTTATTTATTTTATTTCTATACCGCCCTTCTCCCGAAGGATTCAGGGTGGTGTACAGCCTAATTAAAAACACAAAGACAGACAAAATTTAAAAATAATTAAAATTATTAAATAATAGGCCCAATTTCTAAAACCCCAAATTTAAAATCCCATTTAAAACCAATTAAAAATCTTTACATTGATAGCCCAGCCTGGCGGAACAACATGGTTTTGAGGGCACAGCGAAACACACGGAGAGCAGAGATTTTACGAATTTCTGGGGGCAGATCATTCTAAAGGGCAGGGGCTCCCACAGAGAAGGCCCTCCCCCTGGGTGTCGCCAGTCGACATAATTTGGCCGATGGCACCCTGAGGAAACCCTCTCTGTGGGAGTGAACTGGCCGGTGGGAGGCTACTGGTGGCAGAAGACGGTCTCGAAGGTACCCAGGTCCAATGCCATGGAGCGCTTTAAAGGTGGTAACCAACACCTTGAATCGCACCTGGAAGACCACTGGGAGACAGTGCAGCTCGCGCAGGAGGGGTGTCACGTGAGCACAATGAGTTGCGCCCATAACCATCCACGCAGCCACATTCTGGACCAGCTGGAGCTTCTGGGTGCTTTTCAAGGGGAGCTCCATGTAGAGAGCATTGCAGTAGTCCAGTCGGGAGGTGACAAGGGCATGAGTGACTGTGCGCAAGGCGTCACGGTCCAGAAAGGGCTGCAACTGGCGGATCAGGCAAACCTGATAAAAAGCCCCCCTGGCCACGGCCGTCATATGTTCTTCTAAAGACAGCCGTGCATCCAGGAGGACGCCCAGATTGCGGGCCCTCTCTGTGGGGTGTAAAGACTCACCCCCAATAGACAGCGATGGCACCAGCTGACTATATTGCGACGCCGGGAACCACAGCCACTCGGTCTTGGAGGGGTTGAGTCTGAGCCTATTTCTCCCCATCCAGACCCGCACGGCCTCCAGGCAGCGAGACATCACATCAAGAGCATCATTGGGGTGGTCTGGGGTGGAGATGTACAGCTGAGTATCATCAGCGTACAGATGGACTCTCACCCCAAAACCATGGATGATCTCACCCAGCGGCTTCACATAAATGTTGAACAGAAGGGGCAAGAGGACCGACCCCTGCAGCACTCCCCATGCAAGGCGCCTCGAAGTCGACCTCTGTCCCCCTGTCAACACGAACTGCGAGCGGTCGGAGAGGAAGGAGGAGAACCACTGCAAAATGGTTCCCCCTATTCCTAACCCCCTCAACCGCTGCAGCATGATACCATGGTCGATGGTATCAAAAGCCTCTGAGAGATCTAATAGGACCAGGACAGAGGAGCAACCCCTGTCCCGAGCCCTCCAGAGATCATCCACCAGCGCGACCAATGCCATTTCTGTGCTGTACCCCTGCCTGAAGCCCGACTGGTACGGGTCCAGATAGATAGCTTCATCCAGGTGCCCGGGCAGTTGTCGTGCCACCACACTCTCGACAACCTTCACCAAAAATGAAGGTTGGAGACCGGACGGTAGTTGGCTAATTCAGCTGGGTCCAGGGAAGGCTTCTTGAGGAGGGGCCTCACCACCGCCTCTTTCAAGGCAGCGGGAAAGACACCCTCACTCAGAGAAGCATTTATAATCCCCTGGAGCCAGCCTCGTGTAACCTCCCGGGAGACCAGTACCAACCAGGAGGGACACGGGTCCAATAAACATGTGGCGGCACTAATCCTACCCAGAACCCTGTCCACATCCTCGGGAGCCACAGGAACAAACTCCTCCCAGATAATATTCTCAAGACCTGCCCTCGTCTCCTCCCCTGGACTCACCCAGTCGGAGTCCAAGCCTTCCCGAATCCGAGCGACTTTATCATGCAGGAATTGCACAAAATCCTCAGCTCGACCCTGCAAGGGATCTTCCCGCACTCCCCCCCGAAGAAGGGAGTGGGTCACCCTAAACAAGGTGGCTGGGCGGTTCTCTGCAGATGCGATAAGAGCGGAAAAATAGTTAGATTTTGCCACATTTATCGCCATTAGGTAGGTCTTGATATAAGACCTCACCAGTGTCCGGTAGGAATCGGATTGACTAGTCCTCCAAATGCTCTCTAGGCATCTTTTCCGACGCTTCATCTCTCTCAGCTCCTCAGAGAACCAAGGAGCCAATTGAGGTCGGCATTGGGTCAGAGGCCGCAAAGGCACGACGTGGTCCAAAGCCCCAGCAGCCGCCCTTTCCCAGGCAGCCACCAGGTCTTCAGTTGAGTCGTGTGCCAGGGTCTCAGGAAATGGCCCAAGCTCCATCAGGAACCTTTCAGGATCCATCAGGCGCCTGGGACGGACCCATTTAATCAGTTCCGTTTCCCTGCGGTGGGGGGAAATGGCAGGAAAGTCCAAGCGAAGAAGAGAATGATCTGTCCATGACAAGGGTTTAATGTCTAAATCCCCTCTACCAAGATCATTCAACCACTGACCAGAGACGAAAATCAAGTCCAGAGTTTGTCCCCCTGTGTGAGTGGGGCCCTGAACTAATTGGGTCAGGTCCATGGCCGCCATGGAAGCCATGAACTCCCGAGCCATCTCTGACGCCTCACCTGCAGATGGCAGGTTGAAATCCCCCATGACAATAAGTCTGGGGGTATCAACCGCCACCCTGGCAATAACGTCGAGCAGCTCAGGCAGAGTCACCACCACGTGGCAGGGAGCCAGGTACGTAGTCAGCAAACCCATCTGCCTCCCACGGCCCCACTTCACGAGGAGGGACTCACATCCGGCTATCTGAGGAACAGTGGTCTCCCTCGGACTAAGACTTTCCCTAATAATCGCTGCCACTCCCCCACCCCTCCCCTGGGCCCTTGGCTGGTGAAATGCACAGAAACCTGGTGGGCACATCTCAACGAGAGGAACCCCCCCCTCATGGCCCAACCAGGTCTCCGTAATACCTGCCAGGTCTGCACCCCCCTCCAAAATAAGATCACAAATGAGAGGGGCTTTGTTAACAACAGACCTGGCATTACATAACATCAGCCGTGGACCCAGGGCCTGAGGCTTCTGTGTAACCCAGGACCCGAGTCGCGCATTGGGGGCCGGAGTGCGCAATCGCTCGTAGACAGCATATGTGCACCCCCGAAACATGATATGGTCCCCTGCGCCAGTCGTATCTGCCCCTCCCACTAGAGTAATTAGACACGTCCTCCATCAAAGCCTGCATATAAAAGGATATTGTAGAAAAGGACAGAGAAAAGGATTTTTTTTCTATGGAAAAAATGCTAACTGTTTAGAAATGGGTCTCCAAACCTAGGGCTGCAGCCCACTACCGGGCTGCGTCCTGTTCGGAACTGGGTTGCACAAGTGGCAGTTGAGCATGGGTGGGCATGCGCTGCTCCACTCATGCAAGTGGCAAGTGCTTCCATCCACATGTGAAGCTCCATTCACTCCATTCACTCGCCCACCACTCACATAAAACCATCCCCGCTCCCCTCCTGCCGGGCACCCAATCTGGAAAGATTGGGGACTGCTGCTTTAGAACCTTGTTTTTATTTTTAGAAAATGTTAACAGAAAGAAAATAGTTATAGAAGTGATGAAATGGTCGGTAAACATGGGCGGAGACTATTTCTTAAGCAGAACATGTTAAGGGGATGTACATTCTAAGTAATAAATGTATTCCTTGTTTTCACTGCTAAAAATGGGTTCTCATTTAAACCATGATCAGATGATTGTTAAGCAAGTTCCACATTAATAAGTAATGTGGTCCTCACCACACAATTCACTGCAAATCATAGTTGTGCGATCAATAGCTCAAAAGGGGGATTGGACATGACAGGTAGAAAAACAGCCAAAGACAGGCCCAATTGACAATTAATGGGGCAATAAAAAATGATGAGATTTTCTTAGCTACGGGCTTAGCAGAAATGTTTGATGACAGATATCAGGGCAGGCAGATCTCGAAAAGTTTGTGTGTAAATTTCCCTTCTTTCAGCTCAACTAAAATTTGCCATTTATTTGTAATTTTAAATTGACCCAAAGGGGGGAATCATTAAAATATACAAATAGTAATATGGTCCCTGTATTAAATTCATTAAATGAATTACCGGTAACTTGCATTGTATTACACCAATTTAGATTTTGATCTGATTTGGCGTAATACAGCTGTCAGCATTCAGAGTCCAGTATGGCATTTAGTCTGAAATAGATGGTGTACCTCAGGGCTAGATTGGGCTTTGGTCTGAACTGGAAGGATTCGTAAGGGAGTTTTGCTTCCTTAAAAAAACATGTCAGATTTCTCCTATGTTGCATTATATCTAAATTGCTTTGCAAGTAGAACAAATAGACTGAAGAGCATACATTAAATTCTGAGTTTTGCTTGATTCTTATGGTGCCCACCTTACTTTGCACCTCCCAAGGTTTAGTGATGGCAGAAAGGTCACAACCAGTCATCATCATAGCCCTTTAAATAAAAATAATAGATTTAGACATTAAAAAAAAAAAATCAGCACATTCCATGTTGTAGGAAGAGAAACATTAAATCTACTTACATGATTACTTCTTTTTTTGGTAGGGTCCATAGTTATGTATTTAATTGCTTCATTCTCATCTTCCATTTTTTCATTGACATGAAAAATTTTTTTCCATTTTTTCAGTGACATCCACAATTTTTTGAAACATAGTCCTTTTCCTGAGAAAAACAGTAACTTTTGTGATACATATGTCACATTTTTGAGGGTCTGCTTCAACTTCCAGTATTGTGTGAAGAGTTTGAACTTTCACAAGTGGCCCTGCCACTTGTGTTCTACAGCTGATCCTCTCTCTCCTCCACTGATTCTACTGGGTGGAGAAGAGGAATTAGATGGAACAGATTCTGGAGGTGCAGGTGGAGGCAATTGAAATGCTTAATTCCCTGGAATGACATGGAGTGACTCTGACATGGAGCAATCCTAGAAAGTGGCAGGAGACATTCATGCACCACAATTAGTTCTCTGCCAATTCCACTTGAAATACAAAGCCCATCTAATGAACTGCCTCCAGACTTGCCAAACAATGCTCTCTGGGAAGAAGAAAACACCTTTGCTTTCTGCCACATCGGATTCCATGAAACAGTAAAGGAGAGGAGACACTTTTCAGCTCCATCTGGATCTTCCCTATCAGAATTGTCCATTGGCCTTGATGAATTGCCACGTCCATCTCTATTCATGAGAAAAGGGGTGATTCTAACGGAAGGGTTCAAAGGAATGGGGTAAGGGATAAACAATTAAGGGAGGAATTTCAGAAAGTATTACTCAGTTGTGGGGAAAGAAACACCTGGTTCGATATCTGAACTTGCTTATCTTGGAAGGCTGACCAAAATGCCTACAGATCTTACTACATAGCTGAAACTTGGTCCTATTTCAAACATGGTGAAAGGTGCATGTGAAAGCCAGCATTGCCAGAAAGAGGCAGTTTGGGCTCTTTGCATATACATGAATTAGTTTTGCAGCTCCTTCATTTCTTACTTCCATCACTTCCAATATGATGCAACTTACAGTTTTCAAGATTTGCATTTTCCTGGTTATCATTACAAGAAACATTTTTGTTTCTATTCTGGTGGAAACTGCTGAATCTTGTGAATTTTAAAAGTTTTCTCACTCACAAATCCCACTAATTTTATATCTATATTTCAAAAGAGCAGGCCTCAAATACTTTTTAATTTGGAAATCAGTAACAATATTGATGACATCAACAGACAGAAGAATTGAAAGAATTACATCATTGAAATCCACGCCCTATAATAAGGCAGCGTTCACTTAATCCTCTCACTTCTTATTTAAAGCTGTGAACATTTCAATCTTTCCAGGTCCAGAATTTCTCTCCAGGACAGCAAATAGATTCTGGTAAAGATTTCTTTTTTTCTTTATGCAGATTGGCTTGTTTATTAGTCCAATGTATATGCTGCCCTTCTCTGTAGACTCAGGGTGGCTTACAATGCATTATAGCAATAGCCTGCATATTTTTTTGTATATATCTGCTTATTAGGGCTTTCGGTCCTCCCTAAGCGGTGTTGTTCTATACAAAGTTGGTTTATTGTCCCCACAATCCGGGTCCTCAATTTACCTACCTCGAAAGGATGGAAGACTGAGTCAACCTTGAGCCTGGTGAGATTCGAACTTGCACTAATTGCAGGCAGCTGGCAGCTAAGTGCTAGCACTTAACAGCACTTTAGTCCGCTGCACCACCGAGGCTCTTTTTAGAAGGCTATTATAAAACTTCATTGTGGTATAATCCACCATAACACTGAAAGAACAGGTAATCAAATTCTTGAGAAAACCTTCGGTTTGACCTAATATACAATGAAAGAATTATATCAGAAAAAAGGTCTATGTCTATCAAGATCCATGGTCTGAATCCATGGTCCAATTTACTTACTTAGTGATTCAAATTATAATATTTAACTCAATATTTGTTTTCATTGAAAAATGACAATAATTTTTAGTAAGCAATGTCTTTCATCAAATTATTAGAATTGAAACAAAATACATTTAATTGCTTTCCTGTAAAAATGAAGTCCAAAATTTTTCAGGAGTACTTTCACAGTGGAGATGGGATCATCTTTTCTTGAAGCCATATTTCTTTCGCTCGTAAAAGAGATCTGTTTTTGAACTCCCCAAATTGACAATCTTGGGACAGCCATCTCGATCTTTTTCCTGAATAGTACATTCCTTGCAGTAATAAGCATCAGATTGTTGATTTTTGTAGAACAGAAGACTTATAATGTTCTCTCTACTCAGCAACATTTTAAGGATCTGATAGGAAGCCATGATAGATTGTTGGCTTCTCAATAGATGCCAGCATTGCAATTGTTTGCTTTCATTTAAAGTAGTATTTCTAAACTTGGCATGTTTAAGATAGTGGACTGCACGTCCCGGAATAACCTAGCCAGCCTGGCTGACTAATTGGGGAGTTCTGGGGCTTGAGGTCTACACATCTTAAACTTGCCAAGTTTGAAAAACACTACTTAAAAGGAACAAAGATTCCATTTTATTGGAAATACAGAATGTATTTTTACCTCAGGTTGTGAGCCTTTGGCATACAAGGAAATACTGTTTTGATATATGAGATATGAGATATGATATACGAGATATATCATACCTTTTTCCCCCCTAAAAGAGGGTGAAAATTTAGGTGCGTCTTATACACCGAATGTAGCCCCACCCATCCACTGGCCCCCACCCTTTGGCCTGTGCCTCGCAGCAGTTACCTCCTTACAAGCAAACAGCAAGAAAAAACAGCACCTTTAAGTTTCAGCACAGCCTAATTAGCACAAGTTGATTAGATCGGCCTCCTGACTCTCAGCTGATTTGCTCTCAGCTGTTTTGTGCAGGGCTCTGCTGCTTGCTCCAAAGAGGTAATTTGCTGGAGCAGATTTTTTTTCCCTTGTGCTAATCAAGCTATGCTGAAAACGAAACTGAAAGTAAAGCAGGTTGTTTGCTGTTTGCTGCAACCTGGCAAAATTAAGCAGAGGCAGAGGGAGATTTCTTTTTCTTGTTTTTCGTCACCAAAAAAGGTAGGTGCAAACAATGGAAAATTTAGGGCAAAAGAGGAGAGTTCAAGATTTTAAAACACAAAAGAAAAAAAGGAGAAAGAAAAAGGCAAAAATAAAAATGGAAAGGGATAAAAAGAAAAAGAAATGAAAGAGAAAGATGTTATACATATTTAGAATTGAAATATGAATAGTAGTAAGAAATAAATGGGAAATCATGATTGTAAAAATGAAATGAATAATAATTGGAATATTTATCTTTGTATTTTTGAAATCTAGACAATGATAAGTTTTTATTTTTTTATTTTATTTAGAAATATGAATAAGTATAAACTGTAACAATTGAAATACCTTTAATGGTATATGGTGGTGAAAGTAAAAAGGATTAAGTTGTAGCTTGGATAACAGCTAGAACATTTTAAAATTTAATTAGGAAAATTATAAGGATTGAAATATTTTTAATTATATATTGTGATGAAAGTAGAAATGATTAAGTTGTGATTTGGAGGATTATATGGGCAAAACTATTTGGGTTATTGGGAGAGTTTAAGATGTGAAAATGAGTAACATAAGGGGAAAGCTCTATTTAACTAGGGAATTGTAATAATTGAGATATTATTTATTTATTTATTTATTTATTTATTTATTTATTTATTTATTTATTATGCCGCCCTTCTCTGGAGACTCAGGGCGGCTTACAATGCATTAAGCAATAGCCTTCATACTTTTGTATATTTTATACAAAGTCAGCTTATTGCCCCCACAAACCGGGTCCTCATTTTACCCACCTTAGAAAGGATGGAAGGCTGAGTTGACCTTGAGCTTGGTGAGAATTGAACTCGCAGTAATTGCAGGCAGCTGGATGTTAAATGCTGCTTTAGTAGGAGGCATTAGCCTCCTACGCCACTCAGGCTCCTATTAATTAATTGTATATTAATTAATTGTATATTGTGTTGAAAGCAGAAATGGTTAAGTTGTGGTTTGGAGGAATACATGGGGGAAATTATTTGGTTTTTTATTATTGGTAAATATAATTAATTGATTTGTAAGAAATTGGATTGCATGGAAATAATTGGAATAGTCATGTTCATATTGATTAATATACAAAAAAATATAGTTATATAACCAATTGATTTATATTAAAATGTTGAATTTGTATTAAACAATTGTAATATTACATAATTAACCAATGTGAGGATGGATATAAAAATAGATGACAATAGGAAGGGGTATAATGTAGAATAGAAGGGAAAAATTGAAATTGATTAAGATTAGAGATGAGGATGAGGGTAATATTGGTTTTTTTACAAAAATAGATGAGGAATAAATATGGCAAAAAGGAAATATAGAAATTGTAAATTTAATTGAAATGCCTAAACACTGTTTAAATTTGTGAACCGGCCAAATACTCTGTTCAAAGAAAATGCATTGTATGTTTGTATGTGTGTTTGTCCAAAAAAAAAAAAAAAAACTTTTTATAAAAAAAGACAAACAAAAAAGGTAGGTGAGAGATCAACAGAAACCTTCCAGGAGAACAATAAATGAAGAAAATCCTTTGTCAGAGAAGATGGATAATGACTCCAATCTTCAAACCCCTCCTCTGACAAATGTCCACCAATTGTTTATCTAAATTCTTCTATGCAGGCATCAGAAATTCATTTATGAGGAGTGAACCTATTTTTAAAAATTAATTTAATTGAAGAAGCTGTGATACTCCTAAAATAGTCTATTAAATGGATGTATGCCAGATTTATACTAACACGACTGAGAACATTTTTATTCTCTCTCAAGTTTATTTTGCTTCACCAAAATCCCAGCAAAGACTTTTAACTAAAAAATGTTCACTGAATCAGTAGTAAACATTGGTTTATTTTACTGTTGCATATATTTGCTTAATTTTATTGCTCCTGCATTACCTCTTATATTTTTTTAAAAAAACCCACCTCTCTCCTAAAATGTAAATACTTATTGCAATGCAGAATTTCTTGCAGAATTTACATTTCTAAATGCCAGATTAAACCAAAAGTTTCTTGTACCTTTAAGACCACCAGTGAAGTGAAAGTAAAACAGGTAAAAACTGAAACATGAAACTAAAAAGAAATTGGGTCACTTTTTCAAGCCCAAAGAAAGACTGATCTGTGTAAGGGGGATGGGGTGGGGTGGGGTAGAACTGGGCAACTTGGAATGATGTGTCCAAAGGGTGGCCAAGATTTCTGTCAGAGGATTTCTTAAAACAGGATAGTTAAAAATAATCTGGAATTCTCCATAGAAAGAACAGTGAAGGCGTGTTTGGCTCAAGGACACCACAAGTTGGTGCCATCACTGACTATTGGGGGTGAGCATTGGCCCCCATGGAGAGGGCTCGCAACTTGGGTGTCCTCCTGGACTCACAGCTCTCTTTGGAAGAGCACTTGACGGCCGTGGCCAGGGGGACTTTTTATCAGGTCCACCTGATTCTCCAGTTGTATCCCTTTCTGGATTGGGACTCATTAAATACGGTCACTCATGCTCTCGTTACTTCCCGCCTGGACTACTGCAATGCTCTGTACATGGGGCTCCCCTTGAGGAGCACCCGGAAGCTCCAGCTGGTCCAGAATGCGGCCGCGTGGGTGGTTATGGGAGCGCGAGCTGCCCTGGCTCCTGGTGGTCTTCCAGGTGCGCTTCAAGGTTTTGGTTACCACCTTTAGAGTGCTCCATGGCATCGGACCGGGGTATTTATGAGATCGCCTTCTGCTACCAATAGCCTCTCACCGACCAGTACACTCCCATAGAGAGGGACTTCTCAGGGTGCCATCGGCCAAACAGTGCTGACTGGCGGCCCCCAGGGGGAGAGCCTTCTCTGTGGGGGCACCTACCATCTGGAACGAGCTCCCCCCAGAGATACGGAGGATCCTGGATCTGCGCACGTTTCGTTGTACTCTCAAAACTTTTTTATTTTATTTTTTTTAAAATAATTTTTATTGAATATAAATATTAAAAAAGACAAAACTTTTTTATTTCAGCAGGCTGGCCTGGCCTAACTCTCCCTTTTAATTTTTTTAAATCATTTGATTTGTTTTATAAATTGGGTGTTTTAATTTGTTTTTCGGCCAAAATATTTAATAATTTTAATCGACTTTTAATGTTTGTAATATCTGTATTTTATCTTGGCTGTTCACCGCCCTGAGTCCTCCGGGAGTAGGGCGGTATAGAAATTTGATAAATAAATAAATAATAAATAAACAAACAAACAAACAAACAAACAAACAAACAAACAAACAAACCACAGTTTTAAGATTCCATTTTAAAGCAATTGAACCTGTAATAAATGTTTCAGCTCTTTGGATTGCAACATATTTGGTGTCAAATAATAGTATTACATAGAATGTTTCTGAGATTTTATTTTACTTCATAAGCAGTTTGAATCAAGGGTTCTACGCTTGTTCCTCAGTTTTCCCAACTAAAAGATTTCTCTCATGAAGGTAATCTGAATGTTTTTCAGTAGGTGGGGGGTATAGGGTAAAACAGGGGTGGGGTCTACTTACCTTTACTACCGGTTCACAATGGGGCCGCGCGCGCACGCTCGCTTTGCTCGCGTGCGCAGAAGCGTTCTGATGACGTTGGGGTCGGTGGGGGAGCCTCCCGCCAGTTTTACTACCGATTCTATAGAACCGGTGCGAACGAGGGGCAACCCACCACTGGAAGGGACCCTCCCAAATTTTCAAGATAGTAAGTGAGGGACAGGAGAGAGGTTTTCAGATTTGCAAGATTCTGTTAATGTAACCCTAGAATAAAGATAGAGCTAGTACCTATGACTGTGCTTCTTGTTTGGATTACCTCACAATGCTAACAATCTTACACATCTGAAAGTTCCCCTCCCATCCCACACTTTTTCTTTTCCTTCTGGGAAAACTAGGGAACATACCTTCTGAGATGCTTTCCCTACCCTTATCCCTTCTTCAGATTTAAAATTTGTTGTCAGACCATCGTCTAGGCTGTAACTCTTTTTCCTGTCTCCCAGAGTTTTCTCACATAACCACAAACCATTATAGTTCTCTCATCAAATGTATGACCCCCTGCTTACAATTAAAACGCAGGTATTTGAAGATAATATTCATGTATTAGATTTATATGCCATTCGTCTCCCAGCAATCCAGTTCTAAAATTCTTACAGATTTCATCCTCTGGTACATCACTTAAACTCATATGAATAGACATAAGACTGCAATATTAGTAAATATCAGTGCACTTCAAATTGCTTTTTTTAACAGGGACATCCCCAGAGCAGCTAAGCCCTGAATTCTAATTGTTAGTTATACAATGATTTATTAATAGTTTCCAATTGTTACAACTTTTGTGTGGATATTCTATCTAATGTCACGCATGATTTATTGGCATCAAACATTTCTCAATCTTCTAAACACTATTTTTTAAAATTATAGGTACAAGATGTGGCTCTTATTTTTAGTGGTTTTTGCAATTCAAGGCATTTTATCTTCCACGGGAATAGTGCCCCAAGCCAGAAATCCTGAAGCATACATGAACATTGTAAGTTGTAATTGTGTTGGTGGTTGATGTGGTATAATATAATATAGAACATTAAAAATGGCAGTAAAAATAAATGGATCACTAGAATAAATTAAAAACAGGATGTTTCAAGTTCCATATTTATTCAATTCCAGAAAAGCAGAAAACATTAAAAAATATATATATAACTCTGCCTTAGTTTTGTTTAAGATGTAGTAGAGTGAAACAGATGGTCTTTCAAGATACTGTTCTCATAGCCTACAACAATAGCAAAAGCACTTAGACTTATATACCGCTTCACAGTGCTTTACAGCCCTCTGTAAGCGGTTTACAGAATCAGCATATTGCTCCCAAGAATCTGGGTCCTCATTTTACTGACCTTGGAAGGATGGAAGGCTGAGTCAACCTTGAGCCTGATAAGATTCGATCTGCCAAACTGCTGGCAGCCAGTGATCAACAGAAACAGCCTGCAGTACTGCACTCTAACCACTGAGCAAACCGCGGCTTATAAATATAAATAAATACATAACATTCCTATTGCTTCTGTTTCTTGACCTTCCCTTCCTCAAAGGGCTAATAGGAGCTGAAAATGACTAGAAAAAATACAAATAAAAGAATTATTTATAAATAAATAAAACAAAATCTTTCCAGGGACTTTAATTATTTCCATTATGGATCACTAAGGATCTTCTAGGTTAAAAAGGGCATGGTGTTTTATTGATAATAGCACTAGCAATAGCACTTAGACTTATATACTGCTTCACAGTGCTTTACAGCCCTCTCTAAGTGGTTTACAGAGTCAGCATGTTGCCCCCCAACAATCTGGGTCATCATTTTACCAACTTCGGAAGGCTGGAAGGCTGACTCAACCTTGAGCCTGGCAAGATTCAAACTGCCAAATTGCAGGCAGCTAGCAGTCAGCAGAAGTAGTCTGCAGTACTGCATTCTAACCACTGCACCACCGCAGTTCATGCATACACGTTCTCATTTTTAAGGTAATACAAGCACATGAATTCTTCCAATCATTTTCACATTTGATATTCTACATTTTAAAAAAAATAGCCAAGAATCCTTTGGCTATTTCCAGACTTCTTTTAGGTGATTCTACATATTAATAATGCACCAGTTGATAGGTAACATAAAAACTTGATGCAGTTATCCTGAAATTTCCTTCAACAGAGTGAAATCATTCACCATAAAGGATACCAAGCTGAAGAATATGAAATAGCAACTTCTGATGGTTACATTCTCACTCTTAACAGAATTCCACATGGCAGAAAACAACATTGGGGCCTATGTAAGTAAAAATAAATAAGACTATACATTTTTTAAAAAAATCATGGGAAATATTTATGAAAAGTTTGTTTAGAACATTTTTTGGGGAAAGAATCACATGTCTTATTCCATTGGAGTAGCCAACATTAGGTAACCAATTGTCTTCCAATTGACACAACTTTCAAATGATAGAGTTGGAAAGCAGCATGGAGGGCTTTAGCCATTACCTTTCTAAGACCAGGAATGAGAGCGTAATTCCCAGTTCTTACTTTTTAAAGATTTTTAAAGATCAAGGAGGTAGAATTTAGAAGTGTACAGAAAATTATTCCTGTGCATATACATTTACTCCTAGGCATTTAGGATACTTATTCCTGCATTTTTTTCAACATTACGCATTCATGTGACACACATACACACACACAGGAGGCACACAGGATGGAGTAATATGTCTGCAGATAAAAGAATACTACAGATCCAGTCTCAAGAAAACAGCCAAGAGATGATACAGAAAGGAAAAGGCTCTGTTCAGAATTTTGACAAATAAAGGTGTATTTCTATGGCCTTTGAGGACAGCTTCCCCAGAACTATTAAACAGGGTTCCAGCTCCAAGATGAAAGACAGATTTCCATTTTTAGAAGAAGGAATCTGTCAGTGTGTGCACTGTGTGCACTAGTAGTCACTGAGTGTGACTACTATTTTGAGACAACCCAGGAGCAAAATACAGTACACAGAGATCTTTCAAACAATGGTTTATCTACAAGTCATATATATATACATACACGTGCTAAGCAAAGCCAGGCAATCAATCATTCTTCAACTCTAAATGGAGAACTACAAGGCAGATACATGAGGAGATAGAATTACACGAGAGGAGAGGGAGAGGGAGAGGGAGAGGGAGAGAGAGAGAGAGAGAGAGAGAGAGAGAGAGAGAGAGAGAGAGAGAGAGGTCCTCTAATGGCTTCCTTTATATAGACAGCTTCTTAAACAGCAATAACCCTGCTGACTCATCCTCAGTCTTAAAGGGGCTGGTCAGCTTTAAATCTTCATTAGAATAGAACAGAATAGAATTCTTTATTGGCCAAGTTTGATTTGACACACAAGGAAAGAGGACCGAGCCCTGAGGCACCCGGCAAATGAGGGGCCTAGGGGTCGACCTCTGTCCTCCTACCAACACCGACTGTGACTGACCAGAGAGATAGGAGAAGAACCACCATAACATGGTGCCTCCCACTCCCAACTCCCTTAGTCGTCCCAGAAGGATACCATGGTCAATAGTATCGAAAGCCGCTGAAAGGTCCAGTAGCACCAAGATGGAGGAATGACCTCCATCTCGGGCTCGCCAGAGATCATCCATCAGTGTGACCAAAGCAGTTTCCATGCTGTAGCCAGGCCTGAAGCCAGACTGAAAAGGGTCCAGATAATCCGTTTCATCCAATGATCGCAGGAGCTGAAGTGCCATCACTTTCTCTACAACCTCTCCCACAAAGGGTAGGTTGGAGACTGGATGAAAGTTCTTCAGGGAAGCCTTCAGGGAAGGCTTCTTGAGGGGGGCCTTACGACCACTTCCTTCAATGGTTGCGGGAAGGACCTCTCCCTCAAGGACACGTTAACTAAAGCCTGGAGCCAGCCTCATGTCACCTCCCTGCTGGCCGAGACCAGCCAGGAGGGGCACGGGTCCAACAAACAAGTGGAGGAACTCATCGCCCCTGTAGCCTTGTCCACTTCCTCAGGAGTCACAGGCTCAAACTCATCCCACACAATAGGACTAAGACCTACCCCCGTCATCTCGGTCAGAATTGCCCAAGTCCATCCGAGTCTGAGTGACTTTATCCGACAGAAACTGCACAAACTCCTCAGCTCTACCCTGCAAGGGCTCCTCCACTCTTTCTACATCAAGGAGGGAGCGCATCACCCTAAATAGGGCAGCTGGGAGCGAATCAGCGGATGCAATAAGTGTGGAAAAATGCGAACATTTTGCCGCCCGTATCGCCACTAATTAGAAGTGATTAGAAGTGTATTTTAAAAAAACTAACATTCAGTTTAAATTACATATGGACACCTTTTCCTACTTTTGGATCTCAATGACATCTAAAAAGCCTTTTTAAAGTGATCAGTTCAATTGGGGAGGACAAGCAACAGAGAAGAAGAGAGAGAAAGAAAGTAAGGGGAGAAATTGTGTGTGTGGGGGGGAAAACTACCTCTATCTATTTCCGATTCTAGCTCCAGCATACATTGCCTTTAATATCCTTTGTAACCCCTAACAGATTAGATTTTGGAAATATGATCTTCAATGGAAAAATGAATTCTATTTCATGGTGGAGAAGTGTTATTTTGTATTATTAGATAAAGGAATGATAAATAATAGATTGAGCAGAGTGCATCATTAATATAATGACCAACTGATGAACTGTTCCCATAACCCCTTAATGATAAGCAGCATTCCTTTTATAGCTACATGCTACCATTGACCATGAGTAAAGGCTAAAATTACATGCATACATAATTTGTACTTTTCATCAATTAATGAATATTTTGCTCTGGTTTTGAGTAGCAGTCTAAATTCTGCATTATTATTAATCTTCTCATTGTTCCTATCACCCATCTCCTCCCGTGAATGACTGTAACCTTGTTGCTGGTATCCTTAAGATTTATATTGACTGTTTCCCTATGATTATCATTAAGTATTGTACCTTATGATTCTTTTATGTACTCCGAGAGCGTATGCACCAAGACAAATTCCTTGTGTGTCCAATCACACTTGGCCAATAAAGAATTCTATTCTATTCTATTCTATTCTATTCTATTCTATTCTAGTCTAGTCTAGTCTAGTCTAGTCTAGTCTAGTCTAGTCTAGTCTAGTCTAGCCCAGTCCAGTCCAGTCCGTTCCATTCCATTCCATTCCATTCCATTCCATTCCATTCCATTCCATTCTAATATAAATTTGCGGATCTGGATGAAGAACTAAGGACCTATGCTAGTACTGAATCTAGAGTTGTTCCATACGCACAAGACAAACAAAATTTTAGGAACTGATGTGAACAATAATGATGTTTGTGGTATCTTTTTACAGCAGGAAAACCGGTTGTGCTTTTGCAACATGGCTTATGTTTTGAAGGAAGGATATGGGTTGCAAACATGCCCAATCAAAGTCTTGGATTCATGCTAGCAGATGCAGGCTATGATGTCTGGATAGGGAACAACAGAGGCAACTCCTGGTCTCGAAAACATCAACACCTTACAATTAAGCAAGACCAGTATCATGCTTACAGGTGACGTAAAACAGAATGGATGACAGCCTCAGGATATGTATTTTTTGTTTGTTTGCTTGCTTTTAATTGCATTTCTTAGACTTCATGTGGAACAGCTTTTTACCAGATTGCACAACACTTTTCACAAATCCATGTAATTTAGCTGCATTTCCTATTTCCTTGTTCAAAATACATGTTATTAAATTTTAAGCCCGTGTTAACGAAGGAGAAATGTTTGGCTTTTTACTGTAAAATGCAAGATTTAAACATTCAACAGCAAGAATGGAAGAGAATTTTTTTTGAGTAGTTTGAAAGTCTGTCCTCAATTCTTTGATATTAATCAACTGATTATATTCTCCATCATGTGAATAACATTATACAACTCGTGGTTAAAATTAGTAACAAAGAACTAGGCTGTTTGGATTCTTATTTTAAACACTGTACTTTAGAGAAAAACCCATCCATTGATTCATCCCTTGACAAACATTATGACATTTTCTAGGAGTCATGTTAGGGATGTATAACAATTTTTACCTGGAATCAATGGAATGAAAAGTTCCATGTACATGTGGGGACTGATAGTGAAATGAACTATTTCCTTGCCCATGAATGTATGTGCAGAGTTCACAGCAAGGGTGTCCACAGGAAGATTAAAAAATCGATATGTCCCAAAGGTGCTTTTTCAGGAGGCAACTGGACGTTTTTTGTTTTTCTTGGAAGATGTTCTGCTTCACATCCAAGAAGCTTCTTCAGCTCTGACTGGATGGTGGGGAATGGAAGGATTTATACTCCTTGCAGACAGCTGGTCATTTGCATTCTTTTAGAGCAGTGTTTCTCAACCTTGGAAGCTTGAAGATGGGTGGACTTCAACTCCCAGAATCCCCCAGCCAGCGCTGCTGGCTGGGGGATTCTGGAAGTTGAAGTCCACCCATCTTCAAGCTACAAAGGTTGAGAAACACTGTTTTAGAGAGTAATTGAGGTCACTTGGAGGTTTACCTGTGTCCTCACGGTCACCTGAGTAGTGCAAATGTGTGTGGAGCCTCCTTGGCTGCAGGGTATTTTTCTGTCCTGTGCCCCTTCACTGTTGAAGACAGGAGCAGGCTGTTGGGGATGACTCTGTGTTGTCTGCATCTCAAACTGAAGTGTCAATGGTTCCTGTAGTCTGCAATTTTTCTGGAAATCTGTTCATATTCCTACACCATTTGAAAAGGTTCATCCCAAAGTGCATGGCTAAATGTCTATGAAGCTTCTTGGATGAGAAGCAAAACATCTTCAAAGAAAAACAATTAAGTCAATTTACCTCCTGAAAAATTACTGCAGGTTCGAATCTCGCCAAGGCTCAAGGTTGACTCAGCCTCCCATCCTTTCTAAGGTAGGTAAATTGAGGACCCATTTGTGGGGGCAATAAGCTGACTTTGTATAAATATACAAAAGGATGAAGGCTATTGCTGAGCACATTGTAAGCCGCCCTGAGTCTCCGGAGAAGGGCGGCATATAAATCAAATAATAATAATTAAAAAAAGCCCCTTTGGGACAACCATGACCTGGATGACTGAGAATTTCCATAGATATTTAAAAAAATTGACAGTTGCAACAGCACCATTAAAGCCCTTGTCCCTCTTTTGTTATATGCATCACATATATGATACATGTAAAAAAAAAAAAACCAACACCACAGGACTTCAATCATGGTCAAGACCATCCTCTCATCTTTTTAGGATACCCCAGACATGTTTGATTCAGAGTATGTTTATTTCTACAATGGATCTCAATACTTATTGTCATCCATCTTTGCAAGGGACGGTTCAATCTACCTCTATTATGTTAAAATTCCATTGATTGAATTAGAGAGCTCATAAAAACAGTGTTAATTATCTTATTTAATATGAATTGTCTATTATATCTTACAGTTTTGATGAAATGGCCAGATATGACCTCCCAGCAATGATTTCTTTTATTGTGGAAAAAACGAGAAATTCCAAGATACATTTAGTGGGCTACTCTCAAGGTGCTACTGAAGGTATATTATAGAAACCACCACTACACAAACTACATGCAGCCGTAGTTGTATAGCATGTATTCATGATTTCCATATGGGCAGAATGGCAAAAGATAAAGATGGAGATATTATAAAACTAGAATGACATTAATATATGCTTATTTCACACATGCCTTTAGATCAGGGGTGAAATCCAGCAGGTTCTAACAGGTTTTGGAGAACCGGTAGCGGAAATTTTGAGTAGTTCGTAGAACCGGCAAATACTCTGGCTGGCCCTAGAGTCGGGTGGGAATGGAGATTTTTTAATATCCTTCCCCCAGGAGGGGAGGGAATGGAGATTTTGCAGTATCCTTCCCCTGCCACGCCCACCAAGCCATGCCCACACAACCGGTAGGGAAAAATTTTGGATTTCACCCCTGCTTTAGATATATTGCATCAGAAAATCCAGGATAAAACAAGTTAATTTCTGTAACACAGGACAAAAGCTTAACCAAGCCTTTCTGATTTGGATTTAAAAATAATCTGCTTATTAGTCTTCAGGAAGACTCTTAAAAATGCTTAATGTTCTTTTAATGCAACTTTCTGAAATTAAGTAACATGCTACTAAAAACTAAAGAAAAAACTAAAGAAAGTTTTGTGAAATAAAGAAATTGGTTGTTGCAGAATAGTTCAGTGGATAGCAACATATTGTCCAAGTGACTTACAACTTACTTAAGTAGCATTAGCAGAACTCCATAACCAAATCATTTTAATGTGGCCCAAATCTCATGAGATTGCTAAACAATATTTTAGACAAAAATGTCCCAGTCTTATGGTATTTAATTCTCAGAGTGCCATTGTACAAGTTCTCCAAACTTGTGCAATCTCACCAGTTTTAATGATGTCATAAATTGTTGATATATATATATATTATATATATATATATATTATATTTTTAAAAAAATTACTTCTGTGCCATTGAGCAATGTTACATAATAGTATTTGCTGCTTGAAAAGATTGCTGATTCTAGAATAGCTGAATTACTCTGGAGTGGTTTTGAAATAAGTGATAGATTGCTTATTGCTTATAAACTCAGATGGTTTATTTCCATTTTTAAAGAATTCTGCCATAGATTGTGCTATAAGCAAATCTGTGCATTGAATGCCTGTGATTCCTTGGCAGAAGAAATGCAAGCTAATATTTGTCCAATTCTAAAGGATGAGAGGTAGTATGCTTGAGAAGTGATGGAAGGAACTTCTAATTAATGAATAAAAATTTCCCTGCCTTTTTAGATTAGGCATGTGATCATATTGCAATATTTCATGTTTCATTGGCTTTTTTTTTTATCCTGAGTATTTTTAATTTGAAAATCCTGCATATGAACATTAGTTTGGATCAGGAATCTATCCCCCCTCCCACCCACTCCCAAATAAATCTGTCCTGGTTCTTTTACTTCTATTAATTGTGCTTTTGAGTTTCACCAAAAATATGCACTCTGAAAAATGTGGGTTTTTTAGGCTAATATTTTGGGCCTGTATTCTCAGGTTTGATTGCACTTTCATCCATGCCACATGTGGCTGAAAAGATAAAAATGTTCCATGCCTTGTCTCCAGCAACCACTCTAAAGAATTCTCAAAATCCAATTATCAAATTACTACACCTGCCAGATGCTGCATTAAAGGTATTTGACGTACAATGTGATGGTAATAGCAAAGACGAGGATTTCATTTATTTAATTATTGTTTACCTATAACACATTGATTCAACTTTGGGCACATAACTTTTTGATTTTGGACTGCTTTAATATTTGTTGTCTGGGGGAATCCCTGCTACATAAAAATGGTCCTTCGATACTGGACCATTTATGGTCCAATCTTTCTTCTAGAAATAGTAAGTTTACTAGCCAAAAACTCAAATGTGGGGATGTATTTTAATACATTCTACTATGCTTCTGCTGATCTGAACTTTCTTGAAATACAATATTAACATAGTTAAGCCAGTATTAAGAATGACCAACATCAAGAGTTAGCTGCTAACATTAGAATGATGACACATTTTTTAAGTTCACATCTGACTACACTTTTCTCCAATTTTGCATTTTCTGACCAATAGAAGAAACAAAATTTACTTGTCATTCAAAATGTCCATGGTTCCAGATTTTGCACTTATAGCAAATTCACCATAAAAAAAGAAAATTGTGGGGAAAAAGTTATAAAATGCTTTAATTTGAGGGAACCTTGTTTAAAATTACAAAGGCTTAAAATGTTTCTCTTTCAAGAAAGGGAAACCAAAATGCACCCAAATTCTCAAGGCTGAGGGACCAAATTTAGCAGATCTACACAAATGAGACACTGACAAAAACCAACACAATAATAACCCAAAAACAAACCGTAGATGCAAACAGCTTTCCTCTTAGAAAGAAGAAGAGCCTATGCTCATATTGAAAGTAGATAGCTATTAGTTATCCATGTTGCAAGTATCTCTTGCTTAAGTAGGCTGGAAATCTGATTTGTTTATTTGGGCTAGATGGTATTCTTCCTCCTTCACTGAATTATCTGGTATTATATGGTAGATCAGGGATGGCAGAATTGTTCTACTGATAAGATCATTACAACACCAGCCTTTCCAGAAGAGGGAGCTGGCAGCTCTTGTCTCCCAAGATGTGACTAAGTCCTCTTAGGAGGAGGAGAAAAACAAGGTCAATGGAATTACTTAAGAGCTGTTAAGAAGAACGGCCAGTCCTTAAGTGGCCCTGAAGGCCTTTGACAGCAGCAGGTCAGCCTTATAAGGTAGTCCAGACAGGAAGTGCAACCAGGTGGACTAATTCTACTTTATTTTAAGGTTAAATTAACAGAATCTAACAAGTCGGAAGGTACATTTTCCTCCCATCAGCTTTACAAGTAATTAGGTAAAGTCATTTCCAAGATGCTTGCTGTGCCCACATTCCTTTTGTGGGACTGTCTCTTATCTGTTCCCCGATGAGGCTCTTCCCCCACATCATTCCCAGATATCCTTGCACAGACTGTTGACAGTCATTTCAGTCTGGTGCTGACGGTGTTCAGCATATGTCCATCTGAAACAGCTTTCTTTCAGGAGAATGAAAGGAGAATGCACTTTTGGAAGGTGCATTTCAATTTCTCCAGGTGAAATCCTGAGATATTAAGGTTCATTCACTTAATTATTTCTAAATAATTAATTGCAGTGATTTGCATGGTTAGAGCGAAACCTGGCATTGGGTATTTCTCTTACACCCAGCTCTTCCGAGCTATTTCCTTTGCAACACAATTCTCACACTCCCATCCTCATCAATAGGCGAAGCCAAACTCTAGAACAGGAGTGTCAAACTCGATTTCATTGAAGGCCGCATTATGTGTTTGACCCTGGAGGCTGGGGTGGGTGTGGCCAGAGTGGGCCAGGGTGGCCAGGGTGGGCATGGCCAGCTTGACATTACTCATGTTAGGGGCACATGTGGTGGCCCGAGAGCTCTGCCAGCAAAAACTGGTTCCCAAGCTCCGTTTTCAGCCACGATGGCCTCCTGCCAGTGAAAACAGAGCTCTGTTTTCGCTGGCAGAGGGTGGCAGGAGGCCGTTGGAGCTGAAAAAGGATCCTGGGAGGGCTGCACACAGCCATCCCAAGTTCCATTTTCGCTGGCAGAGGCACCACGGGCCGGATCTAAGTACCTTGCGGGCCAGATCCAGCCCCCGTGCCTTGAGTTTGACATCCGTGTTCTAGAACCTTGATAGAGCCATTGATCCATATTGATGTAACTACATATAATATTAATATATTTACAGGGTTTATTGGGCAGGAGGGATTTTTTCCTGAGAAATGAGATTTCGAAAAAAATGGTCATCCGCATATGCAGCTCCATAATTTACAACCGACTCTGCTCCCACTTTGTTTCATTTATTGGAGGATATAATGAGAAGAATCTAAATTTGGTATGTATCAAGAAAAATGTATTTTAGCTGTCTGAAATTTCTTCTGTACATCTCACAGAGATTAAAAAACTAACTTTTCATGAACTTCTGTATCTTAAATAATGGGAACCGAGCTATCTTATTTAACAGGCAGCATAAACTTCATCACAGTTTAGCAATCTTGTACATTTATAATGAATATATGTGTGGCTCCTTCTAGTTTGCCCCTTACACAATTCATACAGGAGGAAGGAAGGAGGCTTTACCATAAACTAAATTAAATGAACTAAGCTGCAGCTCAGGAGGGTTATTAGCAAAACTGTCCCATGTGTCATCATTAAGAAAATTGTAAAGTTATTTCACTGCTCCATTTAACAATCAAAATATCTGTTGCAGAGCCGCATGGATGTTTACATGTCATACTTTCCAGATTCAACATCCGTTCAAAATATACTCCACTGGGGACAGGTAAAGTATCTCAAAATCCAATATTGTTTTTTAGGATTTTATATGATGATAAAAAGAACTGTGGTGGTGCAGTGGTTAGAATACAATACTGCAGGCTACTTCTGAGTACCAGCTGATTGAAATTTGCCAGTTTAAATCTCACCAGGCTCAAGGTTGACTCAGATTTTCATCCTTCTGAGGCAGGGGTGAAATGTAAAATTTGTTACTACCGGTTCTGTGGGCGTGGCTTGGTGATGGTGGTGGTGGGGTAATGTGACTGGGTGGGTGTGGCCAACTTTTTTTTTTTTAATTTTAACTTTTCAAAGCATTTTTTCTGCAAATGCAAAAAAATGCTTTGAAAAGGCTCTGACGATCAGGAACACAGCTGGGATCGTCAAAGCCTTTTCAAAGCATTTTTTTAACCACCTCTTCCCCGGAAGAGGTTGCAGAAAAAAATGCTTTAAAAGTCTCTGATGATCCAGCTGAGTTGCCTGATCGTTTTAAAAAATGCTTTAAAAAGTCTCTCTGACAATCAGGCAACTCAGCTGGGATCATCGGAGAGACTTTTAAAGCATTTTTTTCTGCAACCTCTTCCGGGGAAGAGGCGGTTAAAAAAATGCTTTGAAAAGGCTCTGACGATCCCAGCTGAGTTGCCTGATCGTCAGAGCCTTTTCAAAGCATTTTTTAAACCACCTCTTCCCCAGAAGATGTTGCAGAAAAAAATGCTTCGAAAAGCCTCTGAGATCCCAGATGAGCCGCACGATCATCAGAGGCTTTCTTTTTTACTTTTAAAAGCATTTTTTCGGCGGAAGAAGTTGTAGAAAAAATGCTTTAAAAAAAGCCTTTGATGAGTGTGCAGCTCAGCTGGGCATGGGGGGGGGGAGGGATTTTTGCTACCGGTTCTCCGAACCACCCGCTGCCATCGCTACCGGATCGGGCAATCCAGTCCGAACCGGGAGCATTTCACCGCTGTTCTGAGGTTGGTAAAATGAGGACCCAGATTGTTGGGGGCAAGATTCTGACCCTGTAAACTGCTTAGAGTGGGCTGTAAAAGCACTGTAAAGCAGTATATACGTCTAAGTGCTATTGCTATTAAACTTTACAGGAACTGTACAGACCTGAATTGACGGAAGAAGAAACAAGATTGTTTTGTGAGGTGCCAGGAGGTGCCTAGGGAGTATATTGAGTGTTCATCAGGCCCCAAGAATGATACACAGAGTTACTAAAGAGTAGTTTCCTTTATTGTTCTTCACTTACAGACAGAATCTTGCCAGGCTAAAGCAACTATTCACATAATTACATATATACTCTGGAAACAGCTAGAGGAAAGCCATTTTAATCCTCTTACTGCTGACCAAACTTTCCAAGAGATGCTGCCTCTTCACCCTCTGGAAACCAGCTCTCCCTCCTAGGAATCCAGACTACATACCACCATAGTTTTACAATGGTGGAGAGAAGATGGCTTGATTCTTTGATGGTCTGGGATTATTGTTGTGCATTCCATTACCACCATCACCATCCATTAGAGCATGGGTGTCAAACTCGATTTCATTGAGGACCGCATCAGGGTTGTGTTTGACCTCAGGGGGCCGGGGTGACCATGGCCAGCTTGACGTCACTCATGTTGGGGGCACATGTGATGGCCCAAGCGCTCTGCCAGCAAAAACAGGCTCCTGAGCTCCATTTTTGGCTGTGACAGCGTCCTGCAACCCTCTGCCAGTGTAAACAGAACTCGGGAGGGCCGCATGTGGCTCCCATGAGCTCCGTTTTCTCTGGCAGAGTCACCAAGGGCTGTTCTTTTGCTGTTTCCAGGGTAGCCTTGCAGGCCAGATCTAAGCACGCCATGGGCCGTATCCGGCCCCCCAGCCTTGAGTTTGACACCCCTGCATTAGAGTATCATTGGTATAATAATCTTGTATTATTATACCAATGTATAATAATGTTCTGTTTGTAACAGAAAGTTCTACTGATCTTGGGTCTGCCTAAAGTCTTTGCTCAGTGTTTAAAGCTATATTTTCAGTGTTTAGTATAATAAAATGCCAGAATTTGGAATCATTTATTATTCCCTTCCTTCCCCCCTCCTCCCTCTCTCTATATATCTCCCTCTCTCTTTCTTTCTCTCTCCTTCTCCCTCCCTCCTTCTTTCTCTCCCTCTCCCTCCCTCCCATTCCCTCTCTCCCATCTCTCTCTCTCTCTCCCTCTCTCTTTCTTTCTGTTTCCCTCTCCTCCTACCTCCCTCCCCCCCCACTCTCTCTAAAATCTAGATATACAAAACAGGACAATTTAGAGCTTTTGATTATGGGGATGGAAACAAGGAGAGATACAATCAGGTAAGATTTATCTGACCTACTTAAAGTTCTCTGTCACTTCAGCAAGTACAACAGGAGCCCGTAAATGACTGTGTTGTCCTTGATTAGCTGCAACTGCTTTTGTGCATATTACCAAAAAAAAAAAAAATGATGGCAACTCATGTACAATACAATATACAGCATTCAATGCATAGCTATTAAAACCCAACAGTCATTGAGGAGCCAAGCATTCACAGCCAAAGGATAAATTTGTTTCCCTTTTTGCTTAATTCTTTGAAAAAGTCTCAAGCTGCTTTCAACCCAATTAACTTCAGGCAAGCATGTTATCTGTGCAGGTCAAAGTCTTGCTCTTGTATAACAATATAATTTATATGATACCCTTTAACATTTATTTATATATGAATTTTATTCATCGGATTTGGTTTCCATACAACTCCAATCGATTCCGGCAGCTCACAGCAAAATAACAAAATAATAAACATGAAGTCAGAATGGAACACAAAACAATAAACAGAATGGTGCTTCCAGTCAATAATACCAAGCATATCATACACACAAAAAGGGACTCTAATTATCTTAGTCAGAGCTGTGGTATGCACACATCTGAGCTGAGGTGGGGCAGTGATTAGAATGCAGTACTGCAGGCTACTTCTGCTGACTGCCGGCTGCCAGCAGTTTAGCAATTCAATTCTCACCACTTCAAGGTTTACTCAGCCTTCCATCCTTCCGAGGTCAGTAAAATGAGGACCCAGATTGTTGGGGGCAGTATGCTGACTCTGTAAACTGCTTAAAGAGCTCTATAAAGCATTGTGAAGTGATATATAAGACTAAGCGCTATTGCTATTGCTATTAGTCCAATGACTGGAAGAAGGACAGGTCTTTAAGCCCCTCTGGAGGGTGACTAAAATAACTATTGTTTCGTTCTTGTTTTCTCAGAATATCTCACTTACTCTGCAAAGATTTCTATCACTGAAAATATTTGTTCTAACTAAACTACCGTGATCAAATATTAAGATATTCACCTCCTCTTGTACCTAGAAAGATTCATCCTAGTTTCTCAATAGGCAGTTTGTATTTAGTATGCTATTTTGTGTGCAAAACCCTTCAATTGGTTTATTTTTGTCTTTTTAGGATGAGCCGCCAACTTACAATGTAGAGCGCATTACAGTACCAATAAGTATATGGTATGGAGAAAATGACCGGTTAGTGACGTCTGACAGTGTCAAAGCATTAATTAACCAGCTCCATAGTGTTGTCTACAAAGCTAGCTTATCTGATTGGAGTCACTTTGATTTTATTTGGGGCCTTGATGCTTCTAAGAGAGTTTACAGTCCCCTTATTAAATTGATATCCTTGTATACATAATGCTGTAAATTTGTATAAATTTTTTAAAAACTACTTTTTCTTTATGTTTGTCAGAAATTGGTGATATATAAATACAATATAAATGTTATTACTGTTAATAATAATAAAATGGATTTTGAAAGTCATGGGAGATTGCTTACTGAATGTTGCTTTCAATCATATTTTGTTATGAGTCTCTGCTTATATACCAGGCTGGCCAAATACTCATGCTCTAAAAGAGTCAAGGTCTATAAAGGATTTATACAATAAATGGAAAACTTAGGGTTACAGTAACTGTAGTGCTTTTAATCACAGTACAAAGACATTTTGCTATTTGATGGTGTCCTTCTCATTAAGAAGCAAAGAAGAATTGATTTTTGGATCTTATTTCATTACTCTGTGAGACATGGTCCTATTTGAATGTAGAAGGCTAGTCTAGAGAAAGCAGAGTTTTGTCATCCAACACTTCCTTGACATTTCTCACCCTATTGTAGGGGTGTCAAACTCAAGGCCTGGGGGCTGGACCTGGCCTACAGGGTATTTAGATCTTGCCTGGAAACAGTGAAGGACCGGCCAATGGTGCTTCTGCCAGTAAAAACAGGCTCCCAAGCTCCGTTTTCAGCTGTCACAGCCCCTCTGCCAGTGAAAACAGAACCTCCTAAGCTCCCAAGCTTAGGAAAACAGAGCTCGGGAGCGCATTTTCGCTAGCAGAGTGCTCGGGCCATCACAGTCACCCCTGAGATGATTGACGTCAAGCTGGCCATGCCCACCCTGGCCATGCCCACACCGCCCCCCTCCTGAGGTCAAACACAACCCTGATGCGGCCCTTAATGAAATTGAGTTTGACACTCCTGCCTTATTGCCTATTGATGGGACTACTTTCTTCAACAGGAGGATTGTCACTAGACAAAAGAAAGTTATTCCGATTTTTGAACCACTGCACTCCAGCGTTATTGTGAGTTGGCTAAAGAATGGTAGGGAGTAGGCAGTTGGCTTTAATAAAGTAGTTGTACTTTTGCTTTTGAAGTATGTTTTTCATCTGAACCTTTGTATGGTAGAAACCATACTGGTGTACATATAGTACGTCACATAATCACTTAATAACATGACCTGTATCACATTTTGCAATTACAGTAGGATGTAATAAATATCTCAGTCCTGTCTGTCTATCAGCATTTGTGTGCTATGTCATGAAGGACATCAGAATTCATGTGGTATTACTGTTCTGACCTAGGCTTCCTGATATAGTAGAAAGCACACAATTAGTCTCAAAACCCCTTTTTTTTATTTTGGCTGTGAATTCCTTTCATTCACAGCACGTGCTGAATCACCAAGAGTTTATAAATAGTCCAACAGAAGTCTGCCACAGTCCTTCGGATAAGGCTGGTAAACACCCACCTTTATCTTCTTTGACAGGCTGGCAATTATCTTGGCAAGGCCACACGGAAACACAGAGTCAAAAATGGAGCTTCAAAGTACAAACTGACACCATCCACAATGTTGCTTCCTGCAAAGGCCCATGTGCCTTTGCTCTTCCTTTATGTCATATGGGAGGGGCCAATCATCTCCAAGCCTTACTCCTGAGTAAGTTTTAACTGTTTGCTTTAACAGTTCTTGCCTTCTGGCAGCTCTGTGCATGCGTGCACTGGGAACAGGCTTCCCCTGTTCCTCTGCCTCTATGATGTCTGACTCTGGAGACTCCAGAGTCCGCACATAACTCCCAGATGGCCCTGGCCTCATCTCTGCCTTCAATGCAGAGCCCATGTCTGAGCCTTCCCCAGACTCCAGGACTAGCCCCTGTTCCTCCTCATCCTCCTCACTGTCCGACTCTGCTGCCAGTTCCGCAGGCTGCCAGCAGACCACAACAATTACCTCTGATTCAAACAAAAATATTATTCCTCTTCATGGAAAGTCAAAACAATATTTTTTTAAAGAAAGGCATGGCACATAACAGCAAAAGAACCAACAGACACATCGGAATTAGGGCTTTATTTTTTAGATGAATTTTTATTTATTTTATTTTATTTTATTTTTTTATTTATGTATATGCTGCCCTTCTCCGGAGACTCAGGGCAGCTTATAATGCATTAAGCAATAGCCTTCATACTATTGTATATTTTTATACAAAGTCAGCTTATTGCCCCCACAAACAGGGTCCTCATTTTAGCTATCTTAGAAAGGATGGAAGGCTGAGTCAACCTTGAGCCTGGTGAGAATTGAACTCGCAGTAATTGCAGGCAGCTGGAAGCTAAATACTACCTTTAACAGTAGCACGTATGGTTCAATGGTAAGGATTATGAAAGGTCTGTGAAAGAATCTGAAGTACCTCTGAGGTTCTTGATCTTCAGAGAAAAGAAGAGTTTTTTTTTTATCCTGTCCTCTTAAATTGCAGTCTGATTAACTAACCAAGGAAACGCTGGTGTGTTTCAAAAATTCTCACTCTTTCAGCAAGGTAATCCCATTCCAAGATTAAATGAAGGACTTGTTCTATGCTTTTTTTAATCTTTAGAAAATCGAAGTATTGGGCTCTGGGCTTTGAGGAAAGCATGTAATAAAGAAATTAATGTCAAGTCATGTTCTGTTCTGTTCCTGTCACACAAAGTTCTCTTCCTATTGATTCTCAAAAAGAAATTATCTTTTTGCTTATCTGTGGGTCAAGTGGACAAAGCCATTAATTTTTGCAAGATCCACCTTGTGCTTTAATATTCAGAACTCTGTGTCGGTATAAAGTCTGGACTCATTCTAAACTCCTGATAAACATATAATCCTGTTGGTAGCAGTATGGAAACAGCTTGCCATTTCTTTCTTCCAGGATGATTTTAACCCTGTCAATCGAGCCTATAGTTCTATAACTTCTGTTCATCCCTATCAAGTGACAATCATATCTGATAGTTTTTAACTTTTCTGGAATTGAAGTCAGCCATGGCTTGCCACTTGCTGAGGTTCTTGAGTTTAGACATGCCTATATTACTTTGTCAGCAGTACAATGGATATGAAGATAAGGGTATGTTTATTTATTTATCTGTCTAGATACACACACAAAGCATACCCAATTTTGTGAAATACCTATCTTGTACATTAAGGGGCAAGCAGGAAGAAGAATGAAAAGAAAAAGAGGTGTCACACAGAATCTTGGCCAAAGGTGACAACAATTTATTGCATGAACATTAATTGCTAAATACCTCAACAACAACTATGTGGACCAAAATGTAAAGAAACAAATAATTATGGTGAGTGGAGGAGTTGGAAGAATAGAAGAAAATTGTCTCTACCATACTATGTTTTAAATAGGGCAGAACTATTAAGTAGAGAGATGGAATTGATTAGAAGAACCATTCTAAATTTGAAGGCCCAAATTCAACATCATAATAAAATCCAAAAATCTTTATTTCTTGCTTCCCAAAGAGTTATTGAGTTGTTCATAAATAAATTGACACTGAAAGAAAAAAGTATGGACTAGTGTGTTAAAAATGCAACACATAGTTTAAAATTACGTACTGTGGAAAGCTATATCCTTTCTGTGAGAGAACAGTGTATTTTGCCTGTGAATGCGGTTTACACAGGTGGCTAAACAGGTGGCTGTTGAATTCCTGTGATCCTGTGATAGGTATGATGTCACCAACTAAATAAAAACAAAGAGAATACTTGTCTTCTGAGTAAAGATATTCTATCTGATGTTCTCTGCATGAATGCAGAATGAACCTATGATTTAGAAACCTATTGTTAAGCACATGTCTCATACAATCTATCATATGCCAATATGTAGGACTCAATAAGGACCTGTGGAGTAAAATTAAGGATTAATTTAAAATGTTAATTATACTTAGGCACAATGAAAAAAGCAAATTACTGTTATGATATAAATTAGCTTCCATACTGTTAATTCTACTTTTTTATAAACAATCATTAAATACAAAATCAAAAAAATAATTTTTCCTTGGAAGTGCAAAAAGAACCAATGGAAAAAATGGTTTTAAGACTGAGAAAAAAGAGAAAAACTTCAGTATTACTATGACTAATATAAATTGTCCATTATTTCAGAACAATTATGATAAGATATAGAATAAATTTAAGAACGTTATGCTAAGATGGGAGAAAACACAGTTGTCATTTTGTGGTAGAATTTCATGATAAAAATGAATGTGTTGCCTCAAATGATGTTTATGTTTCAAATATTTATTCTGACAACTCTTGTTCCATTTAAGTAGTAAAGAATGATGTATCTAGGTTTGTATGACAAAGGAAAAAAGCAAGGATTAAATTTAAATTCCCTTAAAATGCAAAGGAATAAAGAGGATTGGGTGTTTTTCATCCTGCTGCCTGGTTTTGATGAAAGGGTAGTTCCTGCTGATGAGAAATAAAAGACTCTTAGAGCTAGAAGAGCAAGACCTGAAGTTTGGATGGCATGTCTTTCTATGGTACAATAAAGTTAAGGCTAATATAGCTTTTAAAAGTCACTATATTAAAAGTGCCATATTGAAAATATGGAATAGATATAAACCCAGAATTTAGCAACTTTCAGTTCAGTTATTTAGTCTGCTAAGGGAAAGAACCCAACTTCTATTTTGGGCCAACTGTCTTTTAATAAAAAAAGGTAAATATTAATTAAGTGTATCAATTATAATAAAAAGGGCCCACACAGCAAGATGTGTAAAACTGCATTGATGGCCTTGCCTGACAATAGACACAATCGTTCCAAATGTAGGATGTTGCTGAATCCTCACTCCAATATTCCTGAAGATAGGACATTAAACCTCACTAGTGTAGATATTGTTCTATGTAAGAGGGGGAGACGATAGGAAAACTAATTAGAAATAGTGAAAAGTCTATAATAAAGGCCCCCATAATAACAATCAGAAACTTTGCACCTGTTATGCTCCAGGTCTAAGTCGGTTTGACCTTTGATATAGATTTCTCTGATTTAAGCTTTAATAGGTATTTGATTGAAATCAAATACTGAAAGCCCACAATAGAACAATTTGAGAAGGCTACGTTACTTATCAAAAATGAAAGATCAGTGAGATAGATTGAGGCAGGAATTCACCCCAGAAAATTTACTTCAAGCAAGGTTACCTAATGATAAATTCTCATGAGGGCCTCCATGTAAACACAACTCAGTTCTATCTAAAGAAGTCTGACAAAGGTTAAGGAACACAAAGCCTTAAACTCTTATATATTTTGATTGGATTATTTCCATAACCATTACATCTGTGTAGGCACAAAGTTGTGCCCTGTGTGGCCAGAGGAATAGCACCTTCATGAATGAATTACAAAAATTAAACCATGTTTATTTATTTATTTATTTATTTATTTATTTATTTATTTATTTTATTTTATTTTATTTTATTTTATTTTATTTTATTTTATTTTATTTTATTTTATTTTATTAGTCATATTTCTATGCCGCCCACTTTCCGAGGACTCTGGGCGGCTTACACCAAAGACAGTATACTAAATAGCATATTGCCCCCTAACAATCTGGGTCCTCATTTTACCCACCTCGGAAGGATGGAAGGCTGAATCAACCTTGAGCCAGTGAGATTTGATCTGCTGATCTGCTGAACTAGCAGTCAGCTGAAGTAGCTGCAGTACTGCACCCTAACCACTGCGTCATGTTGACTTAAAGCATGAGATTCTCAATGTATAACAAGATGTACATCAAAACAGGATAAAAATTATTCATTTTTCCTTGTCACAGAGTGTGTTCTTTGTGCATTACAAGATAAAATAGGAGAACATCACAATACTATTTTTAGTTGCATAACCTCCATCCATTTTTCTTCTTCCTTATTGAACCCAATATTAACTGGGTGTTGCCAATGAAGCTCTTCACAATTGTGGCATCTTTACCACCCACATCTGAAGAAACAACCCACAGTATTCCCTTGTGCTACAGTAGTTTTAAATGACAGTGTGGTGAAATGTGGCACAAGATACCTATAGCAAAAGACTAAACAGGTGTCAACTAAAAAGGTATTTATTTGCAGTTATTATTCTAAGGTGATTCCAAATATTTATTTCAATTATTTTTTCTCCTTCATAATGCAACAGTATAATTTTGGATGGTAATATATTTATTTCTTCCACATTTGCTTTGACTTTTCTGATGGGATTCATTTTGTTGGAGTAGATAGGCTTAATGAAAAATACCAGCTATCTATTAGCTATTTCTCAGCAAAACTTTCTGTGGTTTTGACAGCTAAGAAAATATTGTGAGGGAGATGTTTAAGCTTGCTAGGTGTTTTTAGAATGCTGAGGATAGGAATTGCGGCAGCTCATAGCTTTTATGGCTGCCCTAATAGAGAGGCTCTTGATCATCCATCCATAATCCTCAGTGTCTTCAAAATTACAGTCAGGATTTAATGAATGCATGTATTTTGTCAACTGTATTGATTTTTTGAGATTCTTTTCTTCTGTTTTTCTTATCCTCTGGAAAAAAAAAGAGAGAGAGAGAAAGAAAATGTGGAGTTTCATTGTATTAGCATACCTAATACAAGGATTGACAGGCTATGAAGAACTTATGGGACAAAAACATGTTGTGAATCCTGAAACTTATATGAACGTTGTAAGTTATATGATTTAAATTTTATAAATAATGAAGTAAAAGGGGGTCTGAAACATACTCTTAAGTGTGACCACTTGCTCTTTCTCTTATGGCAAAATCAGCACTATTCTTTTCCAGCCTCCAAATATATTGATACCAGTTGATTGATTGTGTGCCATCAAATCAGTGTTGATATTTAGCAACCACATTTTCTCCATGATGATCTGTCCCTAACTGGTCCTTTAGGTTTTCCAATGGTGCACCCATTGCCACTGTAATTGAGTCTATCTACCCTGATGTTGATTAGCTTCTTCTCCTCTTTCCTTCCAGCTTTCCTAGTATTTGAGTCTTCTCCAAAGAACTAAGTCTTTGTGTAATGTTGATATCATACTGATCAGAATTCCTAGTTAACTAGTCCACTGCAATCAAGGTTACTAATACAGGAAAAATTATATCACCGTTAACACTACACCTACACGCATATTTACATACTTAATGTTAAAGATCACTATTTCAGCATTCTTAATTTTAACAGAAAACAACAATATTCCTTCCCCAATGAATACAAATCCAGATCTATTCTTGGTGGAGTCTGGTCTTTTCCACCTCTTCGTCATTATGTGTGTGGGGGGGGAGGGGTATGTGTGTGAGACCTTATGTTGTACATGATCTACTAGCTGATGCTTGGTTTTAACTTTAGAAAAAAAAATCTTATGTGAGAGTTAATTGTTTTCTTTTTCTCTCAGAGTCAGATGATTTCCCACCATGGGTACCCAAATGAAGAGTATGAAGTCTTGACAGAGGATGGTTATTATCTAACAATAAACAGAATTCCCCGGGGAAGAAAAAGCATTTCAGTCATAGGTATCCTTTTTTTAAAAGGTCAAAGTCAATGCTGGATCTATTAAGCTGATATCAAATGTTTAATAGCCATGCCAAGGCAGAAAGACAAATGTACTTTTTAAAGAATTAACATGCTAAAATGGAGTTGACTTCAGAAACCTCTGGGTCCCAAAACATATTATTATATGTAACTCATGTATAATATTAGAAAATAAGCCTCTCTTGCAATCAATGGTCAGATCCATGCAGTTTGGATATTTGGCTGTATAATGTAGTCTAGAATACAATAACATGTGACCAAAACTTTATGAAGTTATTAATTATAAATACTACCATATAATGAATGTTTAAGAAGAATGGAAGGTTTGTTTAAAACGTTTTGTTGTTATGACTTGAAAATTCTACTCAGTAACGTTTTATTTAAATATATATATATATATATAATCCACAAATGCTACAGGTCGAAAGCCTGTTGCCTTTTTGCAACATGGCATATTTGGAGAAGCCAGTCACTGGGTGGAGAACATGGCCAGCAACAGCCTTGGGTTTGTCCTTGCGGATGCAGGCTATGATGTTTGGCTGGGAAACAGCAGAGGAACAAGCTATTCTCTAAGGCACCAGACTTTATCGGTGGATCAAGAGGAATTTTGGAATTTCAGGTAGTTTGAGTCACAGTTTGAAACTGCATTCCTGTATTGAGCTATATTAATAACATGTTAGCATGTTAGTTAATAACATGTCCTATTTTCCCCTGTGAGGTGAGTTGGGCCAGAGTTCCTCAAACTTTTCAGCTTTGTGGACGGGTGGCGATGGGGGAGGGAATGGTTCTGTGCTCTCACGGCATTCAAGTGCGTGTGCACGAGAAGCTCCGTTTATGTGAGCAACGGGCATGCGTGCCTGCCGTTTGTGCAAATGGAGTACACGTGTGCACTCACCCGTCACTTCGGCAGCCCAGTTCCGAAAGGCTCCAGGCTCGGTAGTGACAGTTAGGGACCCATGAGTTGGGCTAAGAGAGAGTGACTGGAGCAAAGTCACTCAGCCAACTTTCATGCCTAAGGCGGGAATAAAATTCACAGCCTCCTCGTTTCTAGCCTGGTACCTTAACCACTAGCTCAAACTGTCTCCCCAACTCAAAGATTATCCAATTCCATGTGACTGATGGAGTCAAAGGGCTTCCCGAGGGAGCTTACAGTTTTTCTGGAGGGTCTGATGAGCTATTGCTGAATCCATGGTTGGATTCAGCAATACTTCTAATGGACACATTACTGGGGCTTTAGCTCTGATTGTCTCTATGCAGTCATTCTCCCTGTGCTGATCCTAGAATATACAATGCTTTTCTGAGGAACCCCTGAAAATGAAGTGTGTGAAAAGATTCCTGAAGTGCTATTGAAAAAATAAAAGAGTGAATCCAATTGAGTACAAGTAATAACCCATATTAGGGACTTCATCATGACAATAAGGCCAGTGAAATGGTCTTCTTTCTTGCCTTTTTTTTTTTTTGCATCTCCTGGTAGCCTAATGATCCTATTTAGAGTGACCTGGTCTTTGCTAGGGTTGAAGGATCATCTCCAGGTTCACTGCGAGGAATAGTCTTGCTATATGATAGATAACTCTAGGTTGGACTCCAATTGATCAATTCCAATTGAGGTCTTAAGGCAAAATGTTGTATGGTTGTCTGAAGTAAGTTTGACCCTGTAACTCACTAAGAGAGAGTCTGTTAGCTTGGCCATATGCTTGTTAGATCCAGCTCCTTCCTGGATGGTGAAAGCTGCTTGAGAGGTGACTTATGGTTGGGTTCATATGATGGTGTCAGCCTTTTTCAGTGAATGGATGATTCAATAAACCCTAAAAGATGTGATGATGCACCCAGGTCTCAAGATGTGAGACTTAGGTGCATCCAGGTCTCACATCTTGCTGGATCCAGTGGTTGCCAGTTTCCCCATTTTAGGGAAGGTGGTGGAAACAGTGGTTGGTCTTCAAACTTCAGAGGACCCTGAAGAAAGCAAATTGTTTGGGGCCATTTTTATTGGATTTTAGGTTGAGGTTAAATATGGCAATGGCATTTGTCATGTTTGTTGATAACCTGAGACAGAATTGGGTCAGGATTGTGTTCCTTAATCTCTCAGTGGCTTTTGACACTATCAATTATGGTATCCTTCTGGACTGGCTTGGAGAGTTGGGATGGAAGGCAGCTTTTCCTGAAATGTTTGAAATGCAGTAAGTGAAATTTACTTACTTATTTATTAACAATTACAGTTTTTAATATTTCATTTCAGTTTCCATGAAATGGCCATGTATGATCTTCCAGCAACAATAAATTTTATTTTGAAGAAAACCAAACAGAAACAATTATACTATGTTGGTTATTCTCAAGGCGCTACTATTGGTATGATAAAATGAAAAAACCTTTTGTCTTTCTTTTATTTCCCTCTTTCTCTTTCTCCTTTTCTATCTCTGTCTCTATCCTGATGATAATGTAAAAGGTCTTGCATGTTGTTTGGGGCAATTTTAATTGGACTGCTTATCACAAGAAGCAGAGGCAGTGGTGGGATTCAAATTATTTAACAACAGGTTCTTCCTAATGACCAGATGAGTGGGTGTTGCTCAGGGGTGGGTTCTAAATTTTTTTACTAACGGTTCTGTGGGCGTGGCTTATTTTGTGGGTGTGGCTTGGAGGTCATGTGACTAGGTGGGCATGGCTAGCTGGTCAAAGTCATTTCTAGAAGGTCCTCGCACTTACGACCAGTCCTCGCACTTACGACCCGACTCATTTGTTTGCTTTTAACACTGATCAGCTGTAGGACGGCCCTTTGAAGCCCCGCGGCAAGAGTTTAAACAGTTTTTTTCCCTCTAGTCATCAGCTGAGACTCAGGAGGCAGCAATAGATTGGGGATGGGACCAAATAAAAGGTAAGAATAACGTACATGGGTGGGTGGGTGGGGAGAACCGGTTTGGTGATGTCATATCGTCACTGCTACTGGCTCGGCCGAACCGGACCGAACCGGGTGGAACCTACCACTGGTGTAGTTGGGGGGGGGTCATGTGACTGAGTGGGCCAGGAGGAAAGAAAGATCCAACCTGTGTGCATGTGAGAGAGAGAGGGAGGGAGGGAGAGAGAGATGTTAGTTTTTTAAAAAGCCCAGAGGAAGGAAAAAGATAAAGTTGTGCCAAAGAAATCCCAGAGTGGGGGCAAGGAAAGAAAAGGAATCCCTGCTCTGAAAAGGGAGTATCCTCCCAAAAAAGCAAACAAGCCCTTTGCGTGCAAGAGGCAATGCACGCTGATGTGCCAGGAAAGCTGTGCGCCTTTTCCTTTGCAAGCAAGTTATTTAGTGCCTGTGAGAACCGGGCTCGCCAAGTAGCACCAAAGATCCCTGTGCAGCTTCTCTAAAGATTGCTAACAAGCCGGCCTGCCAAGCTTTTCCTTAAAGAGGATCTGCTGCAGATCTGCTTGGCAAGGAACCTGATTAGGTTGCTAGATCAGGGTTGAGTTGGAAGCTGGGGTGGTTGCAAACGTGCGGCCACCCCAGCCTTTGCAGGTTGCATCGCCAAGTGGTGGCCCGAGCGGGCTCCCCTCCCTTACTAGCTGTTGGTGGGCAGTGCCAGCAGTCTGGTTGGTGAGGTTGATTACCCCGCTGGTGGCAAAGAAAAGGCCCAGCTGCATGCAGAGGATAGAGAAGAGCAGTGCCATCGTTGCTTTCGCTGTTTCTCACACCTTTCCACCTGTTGGCAGCCAGCCAGAGGAGGTGGAACCATGGGCAGAGAAAGGAGGAAGGAGGCTGGGAAAATGAAAGCCGCCCCAGACGAAGTAAGTAGGCACCTCTGCTCTGCTGCTTGCTAACCATCCAAGCAACCCTGGGAAACTTAGTGGGACAGAAAAGAGCGCTGCCACGCATGTGCAGAGAGCTGCAGGGTGCCGAAAGAGACATCAGAGCTGGTGCACTTTTCCTGCTTCCGTTGCAGCCATCTTGGGCAACTGGAAATGACCCATGAAGAAGAGTCAAGGTCTGAGTTTCAGAGCCCGTAGGCCCCTGGAAAGGCCAGAGGCAGGAACTGGCACGTCCTCTGACCTGAGGCGAAGGGCGATTGGGCGGCATGCAGGTGGAAGGATGGCAAGAGCCAGGCCTGAAAGGTGGCCTAGCCTTGCTGTGTGCACCCTGAGGTGGCTTACCTTCATGGACAGCCACAGTGAGCAGAGAGGTGCAGAGATCAGCAGGGCTGCATGACCAGCATGGTAGGCAGCGGCGAAGGCAGGCAAGTGGGCGAGGCGCGGAGATCAGCTGGGCCACAGGGTCTGGGCAAGCGAACAAGCAAAGGAGCCAGAGAGTAGCTGGGCGCGGGCATAACTCTAGCACCAGCCAAGGTGGGCAAGGCGAGTTAGGGGGGGGGGGGGTGGGGTGAGGTGAGGTGGTGTGGGCAGGGCCAGCCAGTGGTGGGATTTGCTGGTTCACTGAACTGTGCAGAATCTTAACAACCGGTTCGCCTGAACTGGTCCAAATTGGCTGAAGCCCACCTCTGAAAGAGGGTACATCTACAATCTTATCTGGTAATGTTTGAAAAGAGCCTGAAAACAAAATAAATCCATGTTCTCTCTCTGTACCTTGAAGCTACTTAGGACAGTGATGGCAGTCTGGAGTTGAAGGAACATGTAGACTATTTCACAATTTCATAGGGATCTTCCAAACCTAATTATGAGGAGTTTATTCAGATGGATGATTAGGGTAATCCGGTGTTTTCCCAACAGCCTGTTTAAATTAGTTTGTCAAGAAAGACAATTAAAATTGGAACACAGGAAAGGAGGTTAATTGAAAGATATTTCCAGGGCCATGTTGTGCTTCAATCCCAATAATCATTACCATGGAGTAAATTCCTCAACAGATTATTCTGAACGAAAGCACAACCCTTGATTTTTGATGAGAGCTACATTTCCATTTCCATTCTGAGAGACATGATATGACAGTACTGGCTTTCCTCCTTCCCTCCCTTGCTCCGTCCCTTCCCTATTTTCTTTCTTCCAAAATTCCCTTCCCTTTATTTTTCTTCCTACTTCTTCCTACTTCCTTGGAATCAGACCTGTCTTAACAAGAGAATTGGAACCTGCAACTTCCAGAGAGCTTTCGGAATGAATCTGAATACAACATGAAATTAGGCCAATGGGTTACTAATAGATTCTACTTAGCTCTAAATGGCTACTTTTTCCCCTTTATTTTTTTCCTTTTAGGCTTCATAGCATTTTCAGCCATGCCAGGACTGTCTCAAAAAATCAAAATGTTCTTTGCCTTAGCTCCTGTGATCTATGTTATGCATGTCCCAAATCTTCTATTGAGATTGCCTTCCTTACTTCCTCAACATTCATTTAAGGTATTAATTCATTGATTATTCTTTTATGACAATTGGAACTGAAAAAGGTAAGATGACCAAAATAATAATAATAATAATAATAATAATAATAATAATAATAATAATAGATTCCCAAATTGCTGTCACCACAATTCCAACTGCCACATACCAGTAAGAATTAGAGTTATCTAACCTATCATTTTTATTATATGATTTTGCACAAACACAAAGATGAATACAGTATCCATGGAGGGAGGGATGGAAAACTTCCTTCTTCCGGGATGAAGAATTGAAAGCTGAGAAAAATCTGACTTTCATTCTTCATGAAGGGCTAGAATTCAAGTCTGCTACTCCCAGTCCAGCACCTTTAACTGCTACACTGACCTAACTCTTGTTTGCAAGTACACGTTGCAATAGCAGAATTGTTGCAATATATAGTCAGTGTAATTTTGGGGGTAAGTCAAATGTTGCTGGCTCAAAACTCAGAAGGAACCATCATCACCATAAATCATCATCATTATCATCATCTATGGTTAATTAACTTCTCATTTTTACAGCACATATTCGGTGACAAAGATTTTACGTTTAGCCACAAGCCTGTGAAAGACTTCATGACGAAATTATGTACAACTGCATTTATACATAAATTATGTCCAAATCTCATTTTCTTTCCTGGTACTTACAATACAACAAATCTAAACATGGTAAGTAAATCTTCCTAGGAAATATATTTCTCTGAATGTTGTATTGGTTGTGTTTTTCTACATTTTACAACGGTTTCATCATGGAGGCAAAAACTAAGCTTTCAAAGGATGGAAACATTCATTTTTTTAAAAAAAATTAACATTTCAAAAGGGTGTGTGTGGGTGAAACAAAGGATTCTCAAGAAAATCTTTCTTTCAAATGAAAGATTTTCTTGAGAATCCTTTGTTTCATCCCTTTTGAAATGTTAATTTTTTAAAAAATTATTTTTTAAAAAACAGCATTGATCTCGCTGTTACAATCTTGCGAGATCCGGCCATGAATGGTGTGCATGGGCTTTTAATGTTTTTAAAATGTTTTCATAATATTTTTAATAATTTTCTATGTTCATTGTCGCATTACTTTTGTTGTAAGCCGCCCAGAGTCCCTTGGGAGTTGGGCGGCATAGAAATGTGATAAATTAAATTAAATTAAATTAAATTAAATTAAATTAAATTAAATTTTAAATTAAATTAAATTAAATTAAATTAAATTATTAAATTAAATTAAATTAAATTAAATTAAATTAAATTAAATTAAATTAAATTAAATTAAATTAAATTAAATTAAATTAAATTAAATTAAATTAAATTAAAAAGTTGAATTTTAGGAAAAAGGCAACAGAAATAATTTCTGTAGGCCCTGAAGAGGAACCCCATCCATCCATGGTTGTATATTCACATTAATCAGATGGCTCATAGATTTCATTTTATCAATACAACTGGCCTATAGAATATAATCCATAAAATAACTTTAGTATTTCAGTATTTTGGCTACAATGTACAAGATGGAAAGCTCAGAATAGCCCATTCTGAAACTTCTCAGTCTGGCTCAGTCCTTCGTTCCTTAAAGGCTACTTAATTTCCAGTAGGACTAACTTTCCTGTTTTTGACATTACTAGAATATGTTGTTATTTTAGTTAATTAGCCCAGTTTTTGAACTGCTATCTGAAATGGCTGAGAAGTGAGGTGTTTCAGTTAAAAACCATTATAGTTTATAACAGCCAGGATATAGCATTGTACTACTGTGTTTCCACGAAAATATGACCTACCCCGAAAGTAAGTCCTAGCTTGATTTTTACATGGGTGCCCAATATAAGCCCTACCCCCAAAATAAGCCCTAAGAAAGACCCCGCCCATTCTAGGGTGGGGATGGGGTGTGAAGCTGCCCTACTACTTACCTTTAGACAGTTGCAGCCAGGCCTCTCACATCCCGACACCTGCCTTGCCGGTCCATTTCTTTTGTAGCTGGCAAGGCCAGCAAGTACTTCCTGAAGGCCTCTGCAGCCGATAACAGAATTCCGGATCAATCTGGACCTCTGTTATTGGCTGCAGAGGCCTTCAGGAAAACTTTTCTGGCCTTGCCAGCCACAGAAGAAGTTCCTGAAGGCCTCTGACAGCAAAAAGGAGACCGGTGGCAATGCATGCGAGTGAGGTGTGAGGTAGACAACATCCCCTGAAAATAAGACCTGGTGCCTTTTTTGGTGGCAAAAAACTATAAGACAGGGTCTTATTTTTGGGGAAACACAATAGGGCAGGGGTGTCAAACTCACGACGTCACATTGTCATCGCATGACATATCAAGACTTTTTCCACCTTCTCTAAACTGTGGGGGGGGGGGCATGGCCAGCATTTGACACATCTAGTCTGCGGGCCACGAGTTTGACAGCCCTGTACTAGGGGATCAATCTATGGAAAATAATAGAGAATAACTTGCTTTCTTCTGCTTTTTTCTGACTTCACTGGAGAAGGAATCATGGAGACATTATACTGTAGATCAAAGACATGCTAACAATTGAAATCTTTCCTCCCCCACTGCCCCAGTTACATGTTCTTGATAGTGATCTAACCCCATGAATCATAAAGATAAAATAACAATTCTATTTTCTTTGTGAAAGATATTGTACATAGGACTGGAAACATGATATTGGACTGTACTATGCATTTTATAAATGTTTCCCTACTCATGCATTCAGCTAGGTAATGTTCATTTTATGAAAGTTCATGATGAGTCTAACAAAGACTTTTAGCAGAGTTGTAAATGAAATCTTTCTGGTAAATGAAAACAGCAGCTGAAATTCTAGAATGTTGTAGTCTTGATTTATTCATGTGCAACAACATTCAGATATTTCTAACCCTTGAAAAGCCACAAATAAATGTAATTAATTTCAAAGCTGAAACTATTTCAGCCAAGATCTTAGCATTCCAGGTAAGGTGGATCATAACTTGGAACATTGCCTAATGTATGCGGGTTGATACACATTCTTTCTTTGGACACCAAAACTGGCGGGCAATCTGGAAGAGTTTCATTGCTTGTTGTGATACAGATCTTTGACTGAGATTTACCCAGTTCTAAAGTGAGTTTCTGTGTTTCTGTGGCACAGTCACATGATATCACTCTTAGTAACAGAGTTCTCAGTACAAATTGCCATCATAACAGAAGGATTACCTAAGGCACGGGTGTCAAACTGGCCGTGTCACATTGTTGTCACGTGATGTTTTGTGACATTTTTCCCATTTGTGGAGCTGGGGTGGGCGTGGTCTGCGAGTGATGCATCCAGCCAACGGGCCACCAATTTGACACCCTGATCTAAGGTGATTTCTCAGGTGATGACAAAATCTATCATTCTGCTCTGTTAAAAGTAGGCTGCTACATCTTCTTTCAAAAATGAGCAATGCAAGTAAATATTTCCTTTCACCAGTTGTCCGATTTCTTTAAAAAAAAAAATCTATTGACTTTTCAAATCTCTACAGAGCCGAATTGATGTATATGCAGCTCACTATCCAGATAGAACATCAGTTAAAACCATCTTACACTGGAATCAGGTATAACGTCTTTAATAACTTAGGTTAAATTGTATGACATTTTAACCATCAAGGTCTCCTGAGATGTGACATTTGCTCTGATGCTGATAGCAATAATTTCCAGGATTCTCTAGGTTGCCTGTCCCATTTTCTGGATGTGCTAGTCTACAAATATTATTCAGAGATTTGTGAGATTTATGGTCCAATGTCCCAGAAGAGCACCAGACTTTGAAAGTTTATCATATTAAGGAATACTAAGTCTGCATTATTCACTTAAACGTTATATTTGCCCTACAAGTGTTCTGTTGGAAGAAATATCCATCTGGTTCAGTTCCAAGCTGGGAGAAAGACACTGGAAACATGGAGGTTGATTGAAAAGATGGTTTAAGGATGAAGCAGAACCACATGTGACTCTGGGCAGTTGACCACATGGAGTTGAAAGTGAAGAGGTTTTATACCTTCTCTTAGGCTGTGAACTTGAGCTTCCTGTTCCTGTGCAAGAACATGTATTATATTGGCTGTTGTGAGACTCCTATGGGGCCATGTAGGGGTCATGTTTGTCTGAGCTAAGTCTGGTTGAAGTTTGCTGGGGGTGGTGCAACTGAGATGTTGCAATGAAGGAACTTGTGTTTTGAAAGGGTGTTAGGCAATTCCTATTGTGGCTGAGGGCTAATACTACCTTTGTTCAGACTTGCTGCAGGCAACTTTTGCCTATGAATAGAGCTACCTAGATATTTGGCTTCTTTCAATAATCTCTTTATCTCTTAAGTGCTGATATCTGCTGAGGGCTATTAAGAAAAGTGGGGGCTACTTTCTCCCTCTAAAAAAACATGTTTCTCAATTTCTCAGCCGGAGAAATATAATATTCCAGCTTTTTTAGTATTTCTCAAAATATTTCATTCTTCTAGGAGAGGGGTGGGTGCTAACTTTCCACAGTTCTTCAGCTAGAAGTATTTAAAATGTAGTTCTATTTATCAAGGCCAAGCTGAGAGTTCTTTTTCAAAAGAAGAATTTTTTTTTCTTACAAGTGCTCTACAGCTTCTCTTGATTTCAATAAACATTTTTATCATTTTATATGAAGCACATTTCCTTTTTCCTCTGAAGTTTCTCAGATCACAAATGAGAAATAACAGTTCTTTTGATCCTAGTCCCAATATTAAAATATATATTATTATATTTTTCTATTTCTTCCTTTTACCTGTTTAGTACTTGCTCTTTGGACTTGCTGTGATTATAATCACAGAAATGGGGATATACTGTATACAGTATCTAATGCTTTCTCTGATGCTTTTGATAGATGCTGGATATAGGATTGTTCCGCTATTTTGATTACGGGGACAAAAATCAGATGACATATAAACAGGTAAGAGGGAAAAGTTTTGGAAAATAAATATAAAATAATTAGAATATTATATCAAGAATCTGTATTTTAATAGACTTTAAGTAAAAGAACAACCCCAAATACATTAATTAAAAATTCATAGATCAACACCATGTGTATAGTTTTTAACTTTGACATGGCTATCCCCATTTTTTTTAAAGAATTAGAATAGATTAGATTAGATTAGATTAGATTAGATTAGAATAGAATAGAATAGAATAGAATAGAATAGAATAGAATAGAATAGCCTGTAGTACAGTGGACTAAAGCACTGTTAATAACAGATTAACATCTGCTGCTTGCAATTACTGCAAGTTCAAATCTCACCAGGCTCAAGGTTGACCCAGCCTTCCATCCTTTCAAAGGTAGGTGAAATGAGGACCCAGATTGTGGGGGCAATAAGCTGACTTTGTATAAATATACAAAGGTATGAAGGCTATTGCTTAGCACATTGTAAGCCACCCTGAGTCTCCGGAGAAGGGCGGCATATAAATTAAAGCAAAAAAATAATAATAAATAGAATAGAATAGAATAGAATAGAATAGAATAGAATAGAACTTTTTATTGGCCAAGTATGATTGGACACACAAGGAATTTGTCTTGGTGCATATGCTCTCAGTGTACATAAAAAGAAAAGATACATTCATCAAGATTCTTTGATTATGTAAAGGCAGTTTGTTTATATAAAGGTGCTTTGTTTAGGTAAAGGTATTTTCATTATGACTTTGATTTATATTTTCCTCCTTAGGAAATATTTCCACTGTGTCCTATCATTACTATTCCTCTATTAAAAGGAATGCATACATACAGCAATGCATGCATATAGCCAGCTGTGATACTATCATAGTTTTTGGGTTTTTTTTAAAGAAGGAGATACTATGAATTCCTCCATTGGACATAAAAGATAGCAATGACAAACAAATAACAATGAAAGAGTAAATGGAAATAACCTTTCCAGTCTCATCTTCTTTCTCTCCTCTCCTCTCCTCCCATCCCCATCCTATCATTTAAATGACAAGTAACATCCGATCCAGATGAAAAATGTAACTCTTTCCAGAAGCCTGTAATTGCGACTCAGTTTTAACACTGTATTACAATGATCAATATTATGATTCCCTTGTTTTACTTTCTAGAGTGTTCCTCCTTCATATCAAATAAAAGACATGTCGGTGCCAATTGCAGTGTGGTCTGGGGATCAAGACACTCTTGCAGACCCAAAAGATATAGAGCTCTTACTCTCTGGTATTGTTAACCTGATTTACCATCGCTCATGGTCAGACTGGAGCCACTGGGATTTTATCTGGGGACTCAATGCTCCCCAACGCATGTTCTTCAAAATAATTCAATTGATGGAGAAGTCTGTGTAAACCAGTAGTTTGCTGTATATTTCTGTATGCATCTGAAATACAGATTTGGATTATTTTAAAAAAGATGCATTCTCTATCACAGCAATTGCCATTTTTCCTCACTCCCCTTCCCCAGATTTATTCAACCATGAACATCATTCTCTTTTAACGACCCCATAATCCCTTGTGGGGTGAAGTCTGGGCAACTGAATGGAGCTGAGTGTTTATGGCCAGATGCCCTTCCTGTCACCAATGCGGAGTTTTGTTCAGCAGATATATTCTCATTGTGCCCAGAGAGAGAAATATCTGCCTCTACCAAGGATTGAACTCACAGCCTCCTGATTGTGTGGCGAGAGCTCCATCTCTAGGGTTACCGCACCACTCATTCAACCATGAACATGGCTGGGATTAAAAGAATCTTGCACACTTGGTTTGTATTTCATTTGGTCAGAATGTTTATTACTTCTGGATATCTGAGTTTTCCCTGTTTGTATTCCCCATCTGTACAGGTAGTCCTTGACTTATGATCACAACTGAGTCCTAAATTTCTGTTGCTGAACAAAACAGTTGCTAAATGAGTTTTGCTCCATTTTACGATCTTACTTGCCACCTTTGTTAAGTGAATAACTGCAGTTCTTAAGTTGATAACATGCTTGTAAAGTGAATCTGGCTTCCTCATTGACTTTGATGGTCATAAGGTCACAAAAGATGATCGCTTGACCCTGGGACACTGCAACTGTCATAAACATAAACCAATTGCCAAACATCTGAATTTTGATCATGTGACCATGGGGATGCTGCAACAATCATGTGAAAAACAGTCATAAGTTACTTTTTCAGTGCCGTTATAATTTTGATCCCTAAATAAATGATTGTAAGTCAAGGACAACCTATATTATCAACTACACACCACCTAGAATTGTTTTAGAGTGGACAACCTTATTACATTTAATTAATTAATTTAAATATGTGACTATGGAGATCCAATCAAGACTCATTGTCCTCAAAGAGAGTAAAGCAAGCTGTCAGTATTCCAAGTAATGCACCCATTGAAAGCATAACTCTGAAGCAGGGAGATTCCTCAAAGGACATGTTTATTGGATACATCATATCGGCACAGCTGGTGAAAACCAGCTCTGACAGTTCCCGCCATTTTCACCTAATTAAAAGAGTAAAACTCCCCCCGCCCAGGTGTCACAGGTCACATTGTCCAATGAAGATGGAAGGCAGGCTCCTCTCCTCTTTCAACAGCCACCTGTTTCAATGACCTTGATTCCTACAGGAAAACCTTTTGTTTTGATTGTAGCCCGGCTATCTATTTCCCTCCTTCCCTTCCCCCTCTCAGGCTACGTGGCAACTATGAGGCAGCACAATGACTTCAGCCAGGTCCACTTCAGAGTTGACACAAACATTTGTCTTCAACCCAATTTAGCATTCGATAAAGAAATGGTTGGGTGTGAGTCAGGGGTGAAATGCAGCCGGCTCTATCCGGCTTGTGGAAACTGGTAGCGCTGGTGGGTGATGGTTCGGAGAGCCAGTAGTGCCAGCGGAGGGAGGCTCCGCCCCTCCCAAACCGGGACGTTGACCCTCTGAGCCAGTAGTGCCAGCGGAGGGAGGCTCCGCCCCTCCCAAACCAGTTTTGACCCTCTGTGCATGTGCAGAAGGCTTTGCGCATGCGCAGACAATGGTGAGCGCACATTAGCAAGCCGGTAGGAAAGGTAAGTGCAGTTTACCTCAGCAAACATTGCTTGGAGGCACAGTAATAAAGAAAAGCAGTATGACTTTTCAGAATCAGAAGTACAAGCACTTATTGTGATGATAAACAACAATTAGGGAATTGAACAATCAGAAAGATAGAAATACAAGGATACCTGTAATGAACAGGGGTCCCTAACCTCCGGATCACAGTCCACTAATGGGCCTTGAGCTGTTCAGAACCGGGCAGCAGAAGCAACAGGGGAGCACAAATGCATGCATCCCCCCCTTGCACGAGCAGCGTGCAATCACATGTGCACATGCTCTATTTGTGTCTGCAAAGCTTGAAAGGTTCAAAATGTTATTAAAATATTTAATAATATTTCAAATATTAAGTAAGTTATTTTTTTTAATTTAGTGCTATTATTAAACAATAGGAAGCAGGGTTACATGCGAAAGCATGTGCCTTTGTTGTTAGTCAAATCTATTTCTAGCATAATGCCATGAGTTTTTGTCATGTAGAAAGTAGGACTCCTACATTTCTTCTTCCTGTTTTTAAAATTGTTCCATATTTGTCAAATTTCACTTCGTCAAATTCCATATTCTCATACTTCCTCTCTTATCACCCAAATAATTATTGGAAAATAACCTTTTGCTTCAAGTGGTAATTGTTCTGTTATAATGTGATAACTGCAAAGTGTGTTCTGAGAGAAGGAGTCCATGACATTAAATTGAGTCCATCTTATTACAATCTTCTGGTAGAATTCAATCTTCCCTTTAAAGTCACTGTTCTGAAGCTTGGTTGCCTAGTATTATTTTGTATAGTGTATACAAATATATACACTATACAAAATAAATATATCATTACTGAAATTAACTAATTACCTTCCTACATGATATTGTCATGGTGCTTTTATTGCTATTTTATCCTCATCTATAATCTGAAAAGGTAAACTGGAGTTGTTGAAAGATTTCATTAACATATTTGAATGGTTTTGTTATTTCTTGAGGCCTGGGGATCAGATACAAACATGCCTTAAATATATAAGTACCTTCCGCTGTGCCCTTAAAACTTTCTTTTTTCAGCAAGCCGGGCTGGCTTAACATATTTTTTAATATTTTTAAATTTTTAATTGGTCTGTTATCTTAAATTGGGGCCAAATTAATATATATCCTTTTAATTGTTTTTAATGTTTATATTGTATGTTTTTATCTGGCTGTACACCGCCCTGAGTCCCTCAGGAGAAGGTGCGGTATATAAATTCGAGATAAAATAAAAAATAAAAATTCCATTCATATATTGGCAAATGTTATTTCAGTCCCTGTTAATTCTCATTCATTATTTAGATATATTTCTTGGTTTGTGCTAAGGGGGAAATTGTTTCTACACTGCCATACAGTTTTGTTGGGAGTTATTTCTTTAGATTCTAAGAGGTAGTATGTGCATAAACAGAGTGGAGTAAAAAATATATATATGTAGGGTTTTTTAAAAATATCCTATTGCATTTTATCAGGAATGTTTAGAAATAAGATTTATAATTTTAATGGAAAATCTATGTTTCAGTTTACTTATACTGAAAAGTCTATGTATGCATGCTGTTGCCTTAACATCACTGGAAGAATTCATATTTTAATAGAAGAACCGCAGAACTGCAGTTTTCGATTATAACCATAACATGCAGAAATAATGATCTCATCAACTGCACTTAAGCTTTCTTAAATTGGGAAATAATTTTAAAACTCTCTTATATAAGACCAAAAAAAATCACCATTCTCACATTTTAGTTCAAATGGCTAACAGTCATGCTGTTTTCTTAGAAGAAATAGGAACTTATGCAATTACAGTGGTAACATTTTGTTTTCACTTACATAACCACTGCCACAATGTTCTGTACTATGTTTAGCAAATGATAATGCCACGCTTTCTGTGAGTGGTTTGACAGTGTCACTTCCCCTACCGGACACTTTGATATGGGTAAGCCCTATGTGTGCAATATCACAAGAAAAAAGCAACAGTCTCCAAATGTCCTACAAGATGCAGAATAACTCAAATGTGTGATGTGCCCCCATGCTTTGAAGCCTTCAGTCTTCCCCCTCTCTAAATTATTTGTACCCTCAACATGAAAGCTTTACCCATGACTGCAGTAGCTAATTAACAATGTCAACTCTATTTGCTACTTCCTCTCTCACAGGCTAGGACCATGATGACAAACCTATGGCACATGTGCCACAGGTGGCCTATGTAGCCATATCAGTGGGCTTGCCAGCTCAGCTCTGGCATGCATGCCGTCTGGGCCCACCAGAAGTAGGGAAATAGGCTGTTTCCTGCCTGGGGTGGGGGGTGGGGAAGGCCTGTTTTTCTTCCTCACCTGGCTCCAGATCTTCTCTGCATCTGGGGAGGGCGAAAACAGCCTTCCCCACCCCTTCGGAGGCCCTCTGGAGGCCTGAAATGGCACATTTCCCAACTCCCAGTTGGACAGGAAGTGATATTTTTTTGCTGTCCCCAGCCTCCAGAGACTCCTAGAGTGGGGCTTCTCCATCCCCCACTGTCACCCTTACCTTCTCAGGCCAGGGAAGGAGTGACTGGAAGGGGAAGGCAAGGGGTGGGGCCAGCCACTGGTGGGATCACCTGACAGGGAGTCACAGCAGAGGGGCTAAAGAGCTGCATGCGGCTCCGGAGCTGCAGGTTGCTGACCCCTGCTTTACCCCTAGAAAATTCTACTTGAAGATCATCTATGGTAGCCAATGCTTAACATCTCCAAATTAGAAATATTGATTGCCAGAGATCTTCCTCTCTTTTGAAGGAACTGACTATCCTGTCTGAGGCCAGTGACACACAAATGGAAGCACTTGCAGTGTAGAGATAAATTTTCCCCAAAAGCTCAGGGCATTTGACTTAGAAGAGTTTGTGAGAAGTTTTACATCAACATATATTTTACTGCTTATATATTGCCATCTTCCCTTAAAATATTAACAGAATCCACAATGCTCTGAGAATCAGTGTCTCCACTAGTTAATTGACTGTCAGGCTGGAACTAAATTAATCAAATAAAAATAGCAAACAGGGAAATATCTCTTCCTTAAACTTCCAAATAAATTACCCAGATCTAATCCACATATCAAAGAATAAAGCCTGCAAACACAGAGTTAATTAAATTAGATCTCCCAGAGGAACTGTATGTTCACAAGAATCAGCATACCTACACACACACAAACACACATGCCTCTCAAGTGTCACCTTAGAATCAGCATGTAGATGGACATCCTATACAAGCTCCCCCTATAAAAATCTGCTGCTGTACCTCATTTCTCTGCAAACTGTCCCTAAAGTCAAACTGTTTTGCTTTTAGCAATAAATATTTATTCTTTCCTCACAGCTGTCTGGATCTCATTTTTCATCTCAGTTCCGGCTAGAGTTGGAACCCAAATTAGTCAAAGAGGCACACAAGACAGTAGTTTATGTAGAGCCTGAGGGCCAGACATCTAGGGCTAGACATACCAGAGGGATATTTACACCACTTAGCTGTTTCCAAAGACCAAATAGTACTAACTTTAGCACACTTCAATGCTTTCTCCATGGCAGTTTTCACACAAAAATCTCTATGAGCCGAAACTGTGCCTTTGTGGTGCAGTGGTTAGCATGCAGTACTGCAGCTACTTCTGACTGCCGGCTGCCTGCAATTTGGCACTTCGAATCTCACCAGGCTCAAGGTTGACTCAGCCTTCCATCCTTCCGAGGTGGGTTAAATGAGGACCCAGATTGTTGGGGGGCAAGATGCTGATTCTGCAAACCTCTTAGAGAGGGCTGTAAAGCACTGTAAAGCGGTATATAAGTCTAAGTGCTATTGCTAATGCTATTGCTTTGTGGACAAGGGACTGTTGAAACCATTGCCCAGTGATGGCTAATCTTTTTGCCATCGTGTGCCAGGAGGGGGGGGTCGCACATGTGTGTGCCCACACCCATAATTCTATGTGCCCTGCCCAGGGGTGAAATGCTCCCGGTTTGTGGTGGCGGGTGGTTCAGAGAACCGGGAGCAAAAATCCCTGCCCCCTCCCATGCCCAGCTGAGCCACACGATCATCAGAGGCTTTTTTTTTTTACTTTTAAAAGCATTTTTTTGGCTGAAGAGGTTGTAGAAAAAATGCTTTTAAAAGTAAAAAAAAAAAGCCTCTGATGATCGTGCAGCTCAACTGGGATCATCAGAGCCTTTTAAAAGCATTTTTTTAACAACCTCATTGGCCAAAGAGATTGTAGAAAAAATGCTTTTAAAAGGCTCTGATGATCCCAGCTGAGTTGCCTGATTGTCAGAGCTATCAAGGCTATAGCCCATTTAACCTTCTATAAGGACACAAGGACCTACCTTATAATTCCTTATCTCAGGTAAAACACCTGAGAAATTATGATGGTTTTAATGTTGCAGTTATTGTTATCAGATTCAGTCTCAGTAAATGTAGCTTTGTTTTATTATATTGCCTGTAAAATTAGGCCATATATTGATTATCCCTTGGCAAGCTCATCACCAATTGTACTATTTTATTTTATAGGTGTTTTGGTCTGTGACTGTAACAAAAATATTCATTCATAATATTCAGTATCCATTAGAGCACCTATATCTATTGAATATTTGCATTCATAGCAGTAGCATTAGACTTATACACCGCTTCACGGTGCTTTACAGCCCTCTCTAAGCAGTTTACAGTGTCAGCATCTTGCCCCCAACAATCTAGGTCCTCATTTTACCCACTTTGGAAGGATGGAAGTCTGAGTCAACCTTGAGCCTGATAAGAATCAATCTGTCAAATTACAGGTAGCTGGCAGTCAGCAGAAGTACTACAGTACTACATTCTAACCACTGCGCCACTGTGGCACTTCTCTACTTCTAGAATTTTTCCACTATCTATCTAGCTGCCCATCCCCATTGCCCCCATCAACTCTTTAAGTAAAATTCATGGTTTTTTAATGTTAACACAATCAACTGTATCCTTAATTTTTAAGAATAAAATATTATTAATAAAATTCATATTTTAATAAATGTTTTAATCAGATTTCTGTGATTCTTAACAGTTTTGTTTATAAGGCCCTTTGTATTCTAAGGCAAAAAGCAAAAAAAAAACAACACATAAAATAAGCATGATATTCTTTTCACATATGATTTTGAAGAGAAAAATAGCCCTTCCTCCACCAATGTTTTTGAATCACTTAACACCTTCCAGATTCTGTCATGCATCCCCAGACACCAGGAACTGAAAAGAAATGGCAAAGTAATCCCCCCCATTTTTTCTTTTCATGAAAGAGAAAAACAAAACAAACAAAAACCCTAGCTTCATTATGTCTTGTATTTTTTTAAATCCAAAATATGAAGAAATGTTTGTACTGAGGTTTCAGATCTTGTGTGAGTTCCCAGAAGTTTCCCAGAACCACTGAGATGGCAAAGAGAATGAGACTTGAGACGAGGCTTGCAAAAAATTTTTATTTATGGCCAAAGCAAAAGCTGGGTGACAAAACTATATCCAAAACATACAAACAAAGTACATGTAAGGAATAGCCACACCCAGGGGTGAAATGCTCCCAGTTCGGACCGGATTGCCCAATCCGGTAGTGATGGAGGCGGGTGGTTCGGAGAACTGGTAGCAAAAATCCCTGCCCCCCCCACCACCACCACCATGCCCAGCTGAGCCCACAATCATCAGAGGCTTTTTCTTTTAATTTTTAAAAGCATTTTTCTACAACCTCTTCAGCTGAAAAAATGCTTTTAAAAGTAAAAAAAAAAAAAGCCTCTGATGATTGCGCGGCTCAGCTGGAATCGTCAAAGGGATTGTCAGCTGATGATCCCAGCTGAGTCGCCTGATCGGCAGAGGTTTTTTTCTTTTAAAAGCCTCTGACGATCCAAGCTGAGTTGCCTGATTGGCAGAGGTTTTTTTTCTTTTAAAAGCCTCTGATGATCCAAACTGAGTGCCTGATTGGCAGAGGCTTTTAAAAGAAAAAAAGTATCTGCCAATCAGGCAACTCAGCTGGGATCGTAAGAGCCTTTTGAAAGTATTTTTTTACAACCTCTTTGCCGAAGAGGTTCTAGAAAAAATGGTTTTAAAAGAAAAAAAAATTGGCCATGCCCACCCAGTCACATTACCCCACCAAGCCATGCCCACAGAACCGGCAGTAACAAATTTTAGATTTCACCACTGGCCACACCCCTGTGAGAATGGCTCAGAGTATTATATACATTTTATGCGGATAGAAACACAGTTTACCCAATCAGAGACAAAGGTTCGTTACCAACATGAACTTTAAAGCATTCTTT